CGGCTTCGTTTCCGATTTCGCTTTATCACGTTTAGCTTTTTAATGTTTTGAGTAAATTTTTAAGTTAATCACTTGCTTCGTAATATCATACAGTTATGCTAATACAGCTGGATATTTTGGTAAGATAACACTGGCTAATGTTGATCTGGAATCTTCAAAATTAGGCACCCAAATAGCACTGTTAGCAGGCGGAGCCGAATGAAGACAGAGTTTTGGAAAATCTCAATAATGGTCGTCAAATTCAAAATTGTACATGACGCAGCAAAAAGTTCGCCCATACGATCCGATTATATTTGATGCACAAAATCGTCGTTGAATTTCACGATTTCTAAGTGAAAGCAATGCATATTAATTATCGACTCATTTTAAACAAATTTAATAAGCAATTAGCAGTTAATTAAACCTATATTATATTCGGAAATACTCGGGCGCTATCCGATTGTCGACGAAACGAATTCGGCAAACTTCGGTAATTTTCAGGGAAAAGGAGGAATTCCTCCCGTTTTAGTCACGTGACGTAAATTGTAATACAATGTATTACCGGAGGCTACCGGACTTAAGATACATCGGGAATAGCCAGAATCTTTTGGTCTGGGAACAAGACTAACTAAACGCACGTAGTAAAACACGTGATATACTGAAAGTTTTCACGTACGTACGTGAAACTCATCGCGTACGTACGTGAAACTTATCGCGTACGTACGTGAAACTTATCGCGTACGTACGTGAAACTTATCACGTACGTACGTGAAACTTATCATGTACGTACGTGAAACCTATAACATATCACGTACGTACGTGAAAGTTATCACGTACGTACGTGAAACTATCACGTACGTACGTGAAAAAAATTAATAAATGTGTGGCGGTAATACGTTTCCGTACTGCATGGTGAAAAAGTTCCCCACAATTAAACCACCGCATCGTACTCGCCGAAAACGGCACCGGCTGCGGAGGCAGCTACGGTAAGGTTGTGCCATTTCCGGGTTGATATCTTGCAACATCATCAGCCGGCCGTGTATAATAATGCATGGGGCTTGGGACGAAGTCTTGCGTTATCTCGCAAAATCTATTGAGTCATTTCGCACAACTATTGCATTATTTCACAAATTTCTTTGTGTTAATAATAATATACCATTTCGCAAAGGCACGATTTTTTTCAGGTTTTAAATCTGGCACGAGCAGGCCTCCGTTTTCTTCCAAAGTAGACATGCAAAGGGCGGGGCAGACGGATCTATAGCCTTCAGAAATGTAACGGGGGAGTTGATTCAGGGAGGGGGCAAGGCACGCCCTGCTTTTTTTTTTGGGGGGGGGGTCCGGGGCCAGCCCCCCCCCCCGGATTTTCTTTTTTTTTTAGTCTACGTTGCTTTCTCCCGCATTCTAAGTCAATTTGAGAATAAATTAGTATTTTTAGCATTCCATTTATTAGTTTTGGCTAGTGCTAGCCCCCCCTCCCAAATATTGGTTCTAGAACCGCGCCTGATTCAGAGGCTGAACGGGGTTGCACCCCTCCCCCCCCCCCATAGATCGGCCACTGGAAATGCCATAAAGTATAGTTCACGGTTTGTGCAGTCAATTAGCATCGCATGGGGTGGATTAGGAATTGTGCAGGTATCATATTTATACAACTCATTATTATGGCAGTAGGCCCCTATACACCATTCAGAGCACGGAAAACCTCCGTGAAAAAGGACACAAAAAAACCCTAAAAAGGGTTGTGGTAAGCATCTAGGCCCTATAGGATTTTAGGAGTGGGTTATGAAGTCTGCAGGGAGAGGGTACTATCTAAGGCTCTGAGGGTGGTGGAAAATGATAAGTATCGATCCCCTTAACACATCATTTCAAACTGCTTAGTAATTGTATGAGATTTCAGTTGATATGGCGGTGAAGGGCGCCAGAACAAACAGGTACCTCAATTCATTATTTTGTCCCCAGTTTCCATACGCATTCTCATTGATGATCAGCATCGGCCCTTAATTTCATCAACATTTGCTAAGCCAGACCAGTCTGGTTTTCATGATTTTTGCTTCCTCAGTTATATTATATGGTTGATATGCAATTATCTGAATAATGGCACAAATACGCCATTGGTTCTTCCTGAAAGTACAGTGAGACGGTGCTAAGAGTTTACCAGCATCGCAAACATGTATTTATACAGGGTGAGTAAAAAAAAGAAGGAAAAAAAGGAACTGACCCAAACCAAAAAAATAGATTTCATATTTACAACAAAAAAAGTACATAGCACCAAACATAATAAATAATGACTGGAAAGTCAATTTCATAAGCTACTTTTAGATGAAAGAATTACTGACATTGCTCAATCCGTTCAAAGAATATCACCATTCAAACGTAATGACTCTAAAACCTGTTTCGTCCAAAAACAAAGCAGCTAAGTGTGTATTCTGACTGATTGGAACAAAGAAAATGACACACATACTTGTTTCAGCAACTGTCAATAAATTTTACAATATCCTTATTAACAACCCTGGTTAGGCAAACAATATGACAAAAAAAATCCATTTTTTTTTTAAAGACGGGCCTTCAAAAGGACTTTCTTAAATATTTGTAACTTTTAAAGTGATGGTATGATGTTTGAAGACAATTGTGACGACGATTCTTGAAATCGCATTTTTGGACAAAATTGGTTTTAGGGTCATTGTGTTGAAATGGTGATATTCTTTGAACGGATTGAGCAATTTCAGTAATTCTTTCATCTAAAAGTAGCTTATGAAATTGGCTTTCCAGTCATTATTATGTTTGGTGCTATATACTTTTTTGTTTTAAATATGAAATATAATTTTGGGGGTTTGGGTTCCGCTTTTCTGACTCACCCTGTACGTTGGACACGTGAATATTTCGCTTGAAATGCTATACGTTAGCAACGTATATGATCTATTTCCTTACTTATGTATTATGATCTTCCAAAAAACTGAACATATGGCACAACCCTCCTATGAAATTACTGAATTATCATATCTACAATAATAATAATGCTATAAAATGCACAAGGCGATTTAACACTGTGTAGTGTGCATAGTTTCTTTAATTTATCAGATTTGTTTTTACAATTTCTTTTATATCTTTCAGCATGCATGCACGACACTCTCTTCTTGTTCTCGAGTATCCATAAATACTATATCTTAAATCGTACCTTTCATTAAATACGTATAATAAAATCGAGACATTATATCAATTAAAAATTGAAGCAAAACAATTTTATACAAATAAACAATACATAGATTTGCAAATTGTGTGTTATATACTAAACACACATATCAACTTGATTCTTTAAAACATTAAAAGGTGAAAATTCATATAAGGAAGGTGAAAAAATAGTTATCAGTTTGCCTGAGAAGTAATCAATATATGTATATAAATTGAATTCATAATGAACATTCATAAATACTGCACATTCATAAATACCTGGGACAGTTTACCCATTCCTAATGGCCGAGAGTCGCCACGTGGGTGTTTTAAGCCACAGGTAAACACTGCTGCGTTCTGCACCACATCGCGCAGTACGCGCCACGCGCGCGCGCCTGTTTCCATATATGGAGATTTTTTTTTACCCTCGTCTTTGGCTCAGTTCATTATCGGCGTCCAGGCCCCTATAGCCGGTTTCAACCGACCAAGCACATATTTGTTCCCTTATTAAAAACTAATTTTCGAAAATAAACTAGACACTTTGGGCCATAACTGCTTCAGTACCTTTAAATCATTTGTTCTCAAAACCCTGTTAATTGGGGACTAATGACTGACAGTTTAGCTAATGACTAAAGTTTAGCTGCAAGTCTGCCGTTGTTAGGGAACCGTTTCAAACTCATGGGCGATATGTCGTAGCTGGGCGTGGTCCCTGTTGCCAACTCGCTCAGGATTCTCCCCACTGCGGGCGCTAACTTGAAACCATGACCTATAAAATATAAGATTTAGAGAAATAAAATCGGTCATTCTTGAAGCAGGTTTAGACGAGACCTAATAATCCGTATGCATGGAATTGAAAAAAGATTGCAAAAATTCTTTTAGGCTTCTCATGAGACATGACTGATGGGAGAAACATCGCAAGCCCTACCTACATGTAAATACCATGGACACAAAGCTATATGAGTGTATGTGTAGCCCATGTGATCTGTGATGTCATATCAACGGGTAACCGCGCGACAGGCACTACCTAAACATTTTAAGCATCTTTTGCATGTTATTTGAAGATCATGAATCCATATATGCAGTACAAGTTGTTCCTTCCAAGGCCGCTGAGACAAAAGTGACAGCATAGCAACTTTTATTAGATGTAAAGAACCAACCCTACCTCTCATTGGCCCACAGCCAGGTTTTTGCCAAGTATCTCAGAACAAGATCTCTGATTGGCTGGTTACCCTCTAAGCCTTCTTAACCATTGGTTCAAATTCATGGCTCTTGATTGGCTATTTTTTATGATTAGCGGATCCCACTTATGTCACAATATTTTCTGTGGTCTTTCGTGTACAAACGCTCTCCATAAGAAGGCACAGCGTGGTGAAATGCTATTACACTATGCAGTGTTGCCATCCTTTTACATTACATGTGAGGAATAGGGAAGTCCAATTGCAATATTTGCTGCTCATAAATAATTTGACCACTTAGTGATAACATTTATCCATCACATTTCAAGAGATACACAATGAGCGAATCATACTTTTTCTCTGGTCAATCCAGCTAAGTTTAAAACTAACCTGAAAACCCACAGCCTATGACGATGTTAGGATGATCGGGATGTCTGTCTAATATTATGTCTTCATCAGGTGTGTGCTACAAAATGAAAAATTGATGAAAATATTTTTAAAAAGGACGAGACCACTAAACTGATTATTGCCATCATGAATACAATATGTGGACAGCTCAGCTTGTTTATATGCAGAAGCGGCATTCTCTGTGCAGAACGAATCCTGCCGCACTGTTATATTCTGTTATCAACCCCAAAACCCATTCCGGTTTTCCAGATATTATGTTGGCATTTGACTTACTGTGTACAGGCAGTTTTCAACGAGAGACGGTTCTGGCATGAGTCCGGGCACATGTTCTCTGATGAAACTCTTTAACGTTTCAATCTGGTGTGAGTATTGCACCTGGTTTTGTTGATCTGGCCCTTGCAGATCGTCACCGTGATGATTGCACACCTGAAAATATGTCAGTGAAAACTTAACACCATTTTCAGCAATAATCAGGTAATACTCTGGAGAAAATTGAAATCAAGCAAACTCAAAAGGAAAGTGCTTGCGTACACTTTCATTTGTGAGAAGTTTTAAGTTACTAAATATGCAGTGTATTAAGTGCTTCTAACCTACTCAAGAGAATTTTAACATAAATTAAAAATGTTAATAATGGTTATGTTATGACTTTGCTATTTATACATAGGACTGAAGAATGAATAAGGAAGAACATGGGAGCTCAGCAGGCCCGTCGCCAAGGGGGGGGGGGGGGGGGGGGAGGGTCCTGGTGGGGCCGGGCCCCCTTTGCCCCCCCCCCCCTCCCCCTAACGGCAAAAGCCATACATGTGTATTATTTTTTTTTTATGGTAGTGGGCCCCCTTAGTGGGTACTATGCTCCCCCCCCCCTTCCCGACGCTCAGGGGTGGCGACGGGCCTGGAGCTCAGCTACTCCATTTGTTTTGAGTTCAAAAGAATCATGTCGGATGTTGAAAGTATATTTAGTATCTTTTTTTTTGGAAGCTAAAATTGCTCGAAGTCCACGCCTGGGTGCACTGCATGAATACTAACCGGTTGAAAATGTAGCTTCTTTCAACCATGCCATTTCAGGTGGAGTAATTTCACAAGGCATATATCAGTCTTTTCTTCACTTTGAGCAAGGATTTTCTTGGTACTTTTCCGGGTCTATTTACCAATGTTTCTACGTGCCTTTCAGTTTTGGCTTACGGTACAGTTTCATCAGCCAATAGGCCCGAGACCTAATGACGTCACGCTTTGTTTACATGTGCGCTTTCCTATGTGGTAGACGGTCCTACTTCGTCTGGCGTCCCGACTTCGCTCCCATAGGAAAGCGCATATGTAAACACAGCCATTACGTCATTAGGTCTTAGGTCTATTCAAGTCAGAGGTATTTATACTTAGTTTACCTTGACCAGCCCAGAGTGGTCATCACAGGGCAATCCGTAAGTCTCGTATTTCTCCGAGAGATAGTAGAAGCATGGGTAGTTGCCGAACGCACCAGGCTGTCGCTCTGGCCAATAGCAAACTTTGATTTGGGTGACCTGGTCGTTAAAAGAAAGTCCACTGATTACAGGGCAAAGACTTCATGAATTCATTCCAGGAGTTGTATATAAAAAAGACTTTAGCGGAATCGATGAAAGGACAATAGTTAGATGTTTTAAAAGCAATAAACCTATAGGTTGGGGCGGGTTGCCCTGGCTGACATTATCCGATGAAAACATCTATTCATTTGCACACCACTTTTCATCGGTTGCTATTTGTTACCCTTCAGCATTCCAGACTCAAGAACAATTGAGTTTCAAGAACGTATAGGTCTCGGAGTTAAAAAAGCTAATGCAAAAAAACCCCTAGTTTTCCGCGCCCACCTATCGTCACGATAGTGAAATTTTTGTTTCAGACAGGCGAACTAATAAATTTCAGGCGACTAAGACTGAAATGATTCGGGCTGGCCCGGCATGGAACGCCAATCTGAAGCACGGGGGTTTGGTTTGGGTTTGGTTAAATGCCATTAACTACATGCATGCACACTCCAATTTGCGGGGGGGGGGGGGGGGGGGGGGGGGGGGGGGGGTTTACGTATGGAGACACATTTTCTTGAGAGGTACTCAACTGTTTTTTTAACAACAGATCTGAGAGGGGGAGGGGGCACAGGACAGGATGGGGAGGGCGTGCCCTTTAAGTTATGCAAGTGCTCAGGTAAAAAAAAAACCCAGAGATTTGTGATGTGCCCGTTCCAATGATCGATGCTTTCTACTCAAGCAAAAAGGAACACCGTACCTCAGTGGAGGATCAATCCCTAGCGGTCTCAGCATCTTCGATGCCCAGGCTCCCGGGGTGAGGACCACACTCTTGGCTGTATACCGCCCTCTGCTGGTCACGATAACCACATGTTCGCCGGGGATAATTTCCAAGACTTTTTCGTTTTCTTTTATGACTCCTCCCTGCTTCACGAACATTGTCTGCTCGAGAAGAACAGAAACATGTTTGTATGAGTTACGTCATTGCGAAATTATTCATTGCTCGAACAAAAAGACACCGCGTTTTTTGCAAATTAATTTTCTTCCACTGTCCTTCGTCTTGACATTTGTGTGCACGAGCTGTTCTGTTGTTTAGAATTATTTTATCCACGTTGAAGGCTCCATATATTATGTAGGCCTACACTGAAATACACCCATTTAAAATGCCATTTACAGAAAAGGCATAACAAGATGGACATTGAAAAAGTGAAAAGGTGTAATTAAAAAATTTAAAAAAGAACTAGATGACATATTTTTAAACACGTTTTTTGAAAATCCGTTATGCATCCATAAATTGATTAGGGAAACAATAATAAAAGCATTTGTCAATGGACGCAAATATAACCATGATTAAGATTGGGGCTCTCTCAAGCAAAGTTTGTCATTAAGACGTAATATCTATGCTATTTCTAATGTTTTAAAAATACTACACTGTACTCTTTCTGTCTTTCCCATATGTACAACCAAAGATTCAATAATTTCCGGTCCATAACTGAAACATTTATTTTAGAAAAAGAAGTGGAACGCTCACACTTGATCGTACATTGGAAAGCCCATAACATCACAAATGCTTGGATATTGCAAAATAATTCAAGTTTGATATTCTAGGTGCCACGCCCCCCCCCCCCCCCCCCGACCAAACACGGATTGTTCAAATAGTATTCTACTTGTTATAGCAGAGAGAAAGACGATTGTTCAAATCACAATACATGCGTCTTTAAGTTATGTATATTTATATTCCATAACAATACATGTGATGTCTCTACAATCAAATTTTGTTTCTTCACATTTTCTTCCACAGGTCAACACTAGGAAAACCCACACCCTCCTCTTCAAACATCAGTACAGCCGGACAAACTGTGTCAAATTTTCTTTGTTCCCCTCTTTCCCAGGTTTTTTAATTCACTTTCCACCAATGTTCGAGACCTTTGCTAGAACGTTCCCCAAACCTCTCATCAATTCTTTACGTGATCATCTGTTCAGTCTAGACCCCATCTCTCATGCATTCTAGAGCTTTTCTCCCAAGATATTTTTATCCTGACTTCATGTTTTCACAAATCAAATTTCTCCGGCTCAACAAACTTCCTTTTACTGCATATTATTATTATTATTATTATAATAATGATTTGGACATAGCATGTATGCCAGCTTTTATTTTATTTATTTGTTTATTTTATTTAATTTAATCTCATTTTATTTTATTTCATTTTATTTTACATGTATTTTTATTTTATTTTAGTTTTATAATTTTTTTTTTTTCATTTTATTTCATTTATATTCTATTTAATTTATTTATATATTGTTTATTTATTTATTTAATTACTTATTCTTTATTTATTTATTTATTTACTCTTAGGCCAAAAAAAAAAATAAGTCGGTCTCTGGTCAGCGCGCGCGCGTCGATTTTAAGCATGCGCGTCGATCTTTTTTTTTTCCAAAATGTTCCGCGGTAGCTCCAACAGCGCCCTCTATTTCCGCACCTCCTCAATTTTTTTTTACCAAAGAGCACCAAGGAATGGGAAATTGCACCAAGGCAAATGATCGAAAGCACCAAGGCAAATTATGGAGGACACCAATGTACATGAGGACACCAAAAAAGCAAAATAGTACCCACCTTGTCTGTACAATCGAAGCTTGAAGAAAAAAAAAAAAAAAAAAAAAAAAAAAAAAGCCGCGTGGCCGCGTCAATTCCGGAACTTTGGTCTGACCAGAGACCGAATATTTTTTTTTTTTGGCCTTATTGTAATTTTTAATTGTATTTTTAATTATATTTTGCATAACTGCTTAATTTTATAAATATGTTATTTAATTAATTTTATCCTAAATGTATTAATCACTGTTATCCAATTAGTTTGGAGAGCCCCTCGACAGAAACTTGTTTCTTTTGGGTAATCCTGCGGGAGCTTTTGGGTGTTGTTTTCTGTTATGTTTTCTGCTATGTTTACTACTCAGTGTTATTTGTACATGTACATGTAACTGTTTTGTCTATGATTCACTGTTTGTAATATCCCGAAAAATGAAATAAATAAATAAATAAATAAATAAATGTATAGTTAATGTGCATTACAATCAGGCATACAAGTCATGCACCAATATTGTGCTGTATGATTTTGTTTGTAGCCCCGCAAAAATTTACTTCTCTTCCCCAGGCATTAATTGGTGTTCAGAACATTCTTTCCTCATACAATATACTGAAGTGTATTGAACCTGCAGCTTCGTCGTCTGTAACCTTGTAAGGCAGCGGCGCAACTAGGGTTAAGCTGCTATGGGCTCCGTGCGCCAACGAAAGAGGGCGCCCATTTATCTAGCAACGACGTCCCCTGGGCGGGACATTTAGCTGGTTGACGCGCACCGTTCCTTGTGTGTTGTGTGTGACGCACGTACATGTACACCAGGAGATTTGTACTATGTACACGCAGTGGTACAGCCACGGGTCACGGCAAAATTGCAGTCAGGCAAGATGGCGTTGGTCGGTCACCCCCAACTGTACTTTCTTTGCCAGTGAGGGGGTACTTGTGAACGGAGCGGATAGGGGGCACCTGGGGGTGCTCCAATTTTCAAGGAGGGGCACTGAGGGCAGTGTATATTGTTTGTGTGCAGTTAAAGATTTCAAATGTGGGGGAGGGACGGACCTCCGCAGGGGTGGGAAGGCAAGCGCCACACCCCCCCCCCCCCCTATTTACACCACTGCTTGTTGGGCATGGGTTCATGGATCAATGGCCGCCTCGGTTGCTGCGAACTGTACGAGCCGACAAATTGTAGTTAAGAATTATTTGGGGAAAAAAACACCACCACAACGCTGATTACAGTCTGCACTTTGTTCAATAATTGGCTTTCCAAAATAACACATTCATTTCCTGCAAGGCGCAACTTTTTGATTAGGCCTATTTGATTATAGGCCTATAATTCAAACAATTCAAACAATTCAAACTTATCGTTCATAGGCCTTAGGCCAACCCAAAAAAAGTTTCTGGTATGGAGCTTGCCCAAAAAGTGGTGCGGCAACGCGGCTTTTTTTTTTTTACCTGATTTTTTTGCTTCAAATGTCGGCTGATGACTGCAAATGGTGCCCAACTTAGTGCAAATATATGGGAGTCCAGAGAGGCCACATAAAGCTTATTCTCGATCATTACCCCATCTAAAAACACGTTAAAATGTGCAGCAGCAGGATTCCAGTCAAACCAGTGAGTTTGGCGGTTTGAGACATCATCTTTCATTGAAAAAAAAACTTGTTCATTTTGCCGATGCGCATGGCTACGGCGACGCGCGCGCATACCAGAAACCGGAGACTTTTTTTTTTGGCCTTTTAATCTTTTTTTTGTGTGTGTGTGAAGACTGTGCGTGATGTACAGTTGTCCCAAGGGAAATCTCACAAGTCGTCTTATATTAACAACACATCATTCAATGTGGAATTGGTTTTTTTCAAAGTGCTACATAGAGACCTTCCCATGATTGTTTTTTTTTCCAATTTCGAAAATGCGAGTATAATCAAGAGACAGCCTTATTAGACCTAGGTGATGACGCACGAAATCAGCGCAGGGAAAAAGGCAATTGTTTCTATAAAAATCATCACTGAAGGAGTTTGCACTGATGTTGGTGGTCGTTGCACTGAGAGCAAAACCGCACAAACCACGCTCCCAAGCTCAGTCAAAAAGCAGTAGTACACCGTGACTTCCAGACAACTTTACAAAACCTGGAAAGCTATAAGGTATCACAGTCTTTCGCAGAGGCAAACGGAAATCCAAACTGAACACACAATTCCTCGCGATGGCATCAAATCAAAATTTGTCGAGTGGCGATTTTGAGAACGGTACGGGCGATGAAGTTTGGCCTGAGTCCAGCGTGGCGGTCAGCCCTTCACTCGGTGCAGTCAAGACAATTATCGCCTGCCTCGCAGTTCTAGGTAACAGCGTGGTCATCCTCGTTATTCTGCTTCGGCATAACATGTTCAGCTCCTTCACCAATCGTCTCATCCTGCACCAGTCCTGCATTGACTTGACTGCCGGGCTGGTGTTTTTCTGCAGTACGGTACTCAAGAGCCCCAGCACCGTTGTCGTGTCTAAGGAAGGGAACCTCTCCGACAAACTGATCTGTAGCTTAATCTTCTCCGATTTCTTCCTGTGGTGCTTGAACGTTACGTCTACGTATAACCTCGTCGCCATCTCACTGGAGCGGTTCGTGGCGACTTGCCACATGGAGAAATGGCGCAACTCGTACACGAAAGCCAAACTGAGACGAGGCGCCATGGTAACTTCCTGGGTCGTGGGCTTCGTCTTCTGCTCCCATATGACACTCATGGTGGAGCCCGTCCTGGGGCGTTGCCAGTTTGTGCCGATTAGCCCTTCTCTGAAGATTTGCATCGGTGTGTTGGCGTTGAGCATAGAGTACGTCGTGCCCGTTCTCATCATGACGTACTCCTATGTCAAGATACTGACCATGCTGACGAAGAATCTTGCGAATCCAGTGAACCCTCGACAGCACATCATCCGTAGAGCTAAAAAGAACAGTCTCGTTACGATCCTGCTGGTCATTATCGTTTTTGGGATCTGCTGGACACCGACTGAGTGTTACTACGTGGGAACGCTCCTGCTTGACCTACAGCCGAACGAACCCGTGTACACCGCCTTCACCACGCTGCTGGCCTGCAATCTCTTCATCAACCCGATCATTTACAGCTTCATCTACAAACACTTCCGGGCTCAGCTCAGTGACCTGTTAACACTAGGACGATATCGTAGGAATCGCGTCGAAAAATATCCCTCTAGGCTGAGGTAGCCTAACTCAAGAAACTTTCAAGAGTTACTATACAAATTTGACGTTCAATTTGCAGCAACCAAAGTGAAGTGCAATTTGAAGGTTGTTTTTTTCAAATTACTTATGGCCCAACAATAGTCTTAATCCAGGCAGATTTTTTTTGGTGCGTTTGAGGCGCAAAGCAACCAGAAATTAAAAAAAAAAGTTGGGGTGTTTTTTTCAGAGGGAGATTTTTTTTTCGCTGCAATAAAAAGGCAAAAAATTAATTTATTCGGAGAAAGAAAAAGTGCAACTTTATTTTGTGATTTTTATGTTAACCACCCCTTTAATAGCTTAACCGCACCTGTAAAGCGCGGAGGCAACTGTCGGCCCTCAACACCCCACCGTTGGGATCGACAAACGCCTTGTGCTCCGGACCGAAGCTGAAACCAGGGTGACGCTGGCAGATCTCCCCGACCGTCGGCAACTCGCACGGCTTGCCCATGACTCGAAGGGATTCGCTGCGGAGTGTGAAGTCCTGGTATGGTGGGCCATTGACTGATAGTAAACCAGTATTTCTTCAAAAACAAAATCGAAAGAAAAGAAAAACTAGAGTCATGTCAATTTATGAAAATAACATTATGAAAGTTTTCCGATTTATTGTTTTAAAAAGCAGCACAAATTAATTATCATAGATATTGTTATTAATGAGAAAAAAGTACTTTATGATATTTGTCCTTTGCAACTTGCAGGGAATGTAATTCATTATCTAAAAGATCTTTCAAATACCTAAGTGAACAATTTATTATACTCCAAGAACTTAGAGAAAAAAAACCTCGTAACTAGAATGGCACAAGATTTATCGGAAAAAAAAGATTTTATATTGCCCGATTGCAAGATTTACTTCAGAATAAAAGTCATGGCCATGATATCGGAAATAGTAGGGGGGGGGGGGATGAGTAATGGTTTGTGTTGAAGGATGAACAGAATTGGAGGCTTTAGTAAATATTAAATATCACTCATCCAAATTCACTCCCAAACCATAACTTCGCGCCTTTCATTTCATTTTCTTCTCATCAGACTCTGGGGGGGGGGGGGGGGGGGGGGGCCCTAGCAGGGTTGGATCCAGAAATTGTTGCAGGGAGGCGTGCTGAAATATAGACCCGTTTTTTTCTCCACACCTCCACATACACATAAAGCATACAGGCCTACTTAATCAATAAGGGGGTGGGGGGGGGGGGGGGATCATATTTTCAATGGGGAGCGCTTATAAAATCCTACAGTCACAGTGGCGGATCCAGAGAGGTTCGTGCCGGGGGCGCAACGGCTCATTGGAGTGAAAAATGGCCTTATTTGACAAAATTTTGGTCGCTGCGGGGGGGGGGGGAGGGGGGCGCACGCACCCCCCATAGCACCCCCCTGGGTCTGCCAATGAGTCATGCACACTTTATTAGTGTACAAATGCCCGCCACCTTTTTCTATGGACTTTTTTTGGAGGGGGCTGGACAAACACCCCCCCCCCCCCCCCCCCCCAGTAGAACTGCGCCTGGCTATTACTATACCGATATTTCAACGTGCCTTTAACCACCAACCTGTAAAGCTCAGTGCCTACTTCTCGGCCCAGTCGCTCCCACGTCTGGAAGCATTCTGGCATCATGTTGGCGTAGTGTATCTGCCGGTACGTGTAGCGGGTGATACGAGACTGGCCATGGGAGCTCCCTTTACTGTGTCCCAGCGTGAACTTTTGGAGAGATTCGCAAAAAAATTATAATTATAGAAACGGCAGGGAGAGAGTCACAAACCCATGGAGGTAGGAAACATGACCAAACCAACGGTGCCTGGCTGCCAAGACAAGCCACAACTGTACAAATCAGCAGCGGAGTACAGCTTTCAGGAAAGGGGGGGGGGTGTCTAATTGGGGAGTTGAGTCTAGGGGGTCCAGAGCCGCATGGCCCAGGAAAATTCTGAAACGAACGATGCTGTTTCCTGCATTCCAAGGAAATCCGAGAATAAATAGAAACTTTATCATTTCATTTATTATTTTGGGCCCATTTGACTGGCACGGTATCCTAATTACCCTCACAGTCAGCGGGAAGTGGGGGGGGGGGGGGGACAACTCGAATCACTCAACAATTTATGGAAAGAATCCCATATCTGGCCATCATCACTAATTTTTCCCTTCAGTGAGTATCAGCCATCAGAAAGTGATAATATGTCCTAAAAAGTCAAATTTAGCAGGGAATATCAAGTTTTTACTGAGAAAACACTTGGAAACTTTCAGACCAGTCTCATACGGTTTGTGCACAGAGTGTCAAGTGATGGCCAGATATGTGAATCTCTCCCAATTTATAATACAGGCAGAATGTTGCCCTCCTCAATTGGAACATGATTGGACCATTGGACGCACGAGCAAAATTGAAATTGAAACTTCCCGCCAATGACACAGCTGGTATAATGCTACATGACTGCACAATGCAGCATGAACAAGTTAACATTTACTATGCTAAACGTATGGCAAGACGTTTGAAAGTCCTTAGTTTGCCTGTCCATTTGTTTCACCGAGTGTTGGCCGCGCGCGTGCAGATAGACCATGGAGCTAAAACACAGCTCCATGGATAGACATGTCAAGCAGGGTCATGGTCACAAAATGTGACGAAAGGGAACAGCGGGGGGGGGGGGGGGGGGCCACCATTGCTATACAGCTCATCGCATTAGCATTAATTGGAGCTGGATCAAGTTACTCATGGAGGAGTTACTCAAGCATTGATGCATGATGTACATACAATCATTGGGTTCGCTATGGTTATTATGCGCTGTATGAAGCCCGGCCAACCCTTTCAATGAGCACAATATCAACAGTCAATTCACCTGTTCAAGCAGCAGTGTCTTGTGACCGGTTCTTGTCAGGTGGTAGCCCGTAGCCGACCCTTCTACGCCTGCTCCTACCACAACACAATCGTAGTCATGCTGAGCCATTGCATGTAATGTAACCAGTTACGATGATGTAAATTTTAGATCAGTGACTAGGCAGGCATGCTAGGCCCAGGCACATCGCACATGGTCGACCACTGGTTTCTTGCCACTGCTGGCTTTGTTTGCATTTCGGATATGCTTATACAAGTATGAGACTGCACCTATTAATATGTTGACCTTTGACGGTTTACTGCTTTTTTTCTCAATATTATCACTGTTATGGACCGGATAAAAACCCAACTCATACCGCCAGTCGTTCACCGCGCGCCGTCGCGACCGACCAGAAAGCCGCGAAAATTGCGCCCTCTCCTTGTGACACGTGCATGCGATCCGAGTCGCCGCCTGGAGTCTAGTCCGGGGCGGGGGGGGGGGGGGGGGGGGGCGTTTACGCACCGCCACCCCATGGGTACTGGCCAGTATATAGGTCCAAAATGTCTTGGGGTTCAAAAAAAAAGTCGGTCCCCCAAAAAGTGGGTCCCAAAAAATACGGCGTGAAGTTCGGGGCCCGTTTAAGGGCCCGATTTTTTTTGGGGGGGGGGGGGTTCGAGATGCTCTGCACTACCATGCCTGTGGTGCGATCTGATGAGGCAATTTATGGCCACTTCAACCAAATTTTTATGGAAACTATGGTGGTGTACGCAGTGCCTGCGTTTACTGAAACGTCACTTAAAAACAAAAAAGGTGTGTGTGGGGGGGGGGGGCATGGCCCCGTTGTCCCCCACTTCCCCGCCTGGATCCGCCCTTGGAGATTGCCTATATACGCCGTGGCATCTTAACGGCTTGCATGCCCTCATTTTGCAAGGGAACATATTATATCCTTTCTCAAAATGGCGATAGGCTTTTCTCCTGAAAGTCTTGGTTCATTATACCCTACCACCCCAAAAAATTGAGCAGAAACTGAAAGATTATTAAATAATTAGTTTTAATATATAAGTTGATGTGTGTGTCGCACCTGGGAAAATGAAAGATTATGAAATAAGTTTCAAGTTGATGTGTGTCTCAAACACCTTGGAGAGTTGTGAGTATTTTCCATAATTTCGGGACGGTGGGCCATGGGCGTCCAGATGCCGATTTTGCTGTTGTTTGCTTGATTAAGTGATTGATGAATGATAATTAAATTAGAGTGAAGACTATTGCTTTAAAATCGATGCAATATAGGGCAGAGGGTTCAAAGGGTAGAGCGCCCCTAGCGTCAAACGAGTTCCAGTCCCCCCCCCCCCCCCCAAAAAAAGTTTGTGCGATTGAAGACGCGTTCAGGGTGGTTTGGGCGGTGTTCGACATTTTCTCCACAACCAAGAGATTTGAATGTTCGACTCTGCAATTCAAGAGTCATAGCGCCCTCTTGCAGTGTTTGACTGTACTACAGCTTTAGTTGAGACAAAAATTGCGGTTCCTTGCTCTACTAGCACGATGGCACTGCCTCTCTTTCAACATTTTACAGCGGCTTGTTTTGGCGAACAATATTGTGGGCATTGGTCTTTCATTATAATCTTTCAACAATTTTAATGGAGGTTTTTTTGTCCCAACTTGCTCCCACAGTATACATAATAGTCGTCCCGTTCCTGCCCAACGGACGCGTACGCGGTTTCGTCACTCGAGTGACGAACTCAGCCGCTACGTACATCCATGCAACGAGGATCCACTCAATCCGCTATGCTTCACCGCTCAGTCAAATGCCGGCTCAAGTCATCAAGGCAGAGGACTTGTCAAAAAGGCTAGTTGCACTGTTGCATCTGTGACCCTGGCCAGACGTGTTCGGGTTTGGGTTTGTTTTTTGGGGGGGGGACAATGCTGCACCCTGGGGCATCTAGTACCTATTGGCCCTAACCCTGGAGACTGACGACGCATGCTCCCCAGGGGTGTAATTATCAAATATTGCACCGGGAGGGGAACCTGTCAGTGAGGAGTCATCGATTGGGCCAAAACGTGTGATAACATTGGACATGTTTATGACATTGTGGGGTGCAGCACAAAACACGATAGAATTTCCTTTCGTTCTATTTTTTTTCTAACTTATGTTTTAATGCGTTGATTCATTTCGTTCCTATAAAATAATATTCGGCTCAGTATTGACTCGAGATTTTATTATGGTCACGTGATCACCCAAAGAGGGCGCAACTTTATGAGTACCGTGCACGAGTACTTTGTCACGAGTACGAGTACGGGTAATTTGTTTCTGGCGAGTACGTGAATACGAGTACGAGTACATTCTTATGAGTACGGCTATACGAGTGCCAGAAAATGTACCGTACTTGAGCACGAGTACGAGTGCACAAAGTGGTTGCATTTGGGTGGACCAATGTTGGACTAGGTTTGGTTTTGCCGTCATTGTATTAATATTGGGATAAACTGTGGGTTAAGTAATGATAGTGTTTAGTTTGGTTGGATTGGTTTGAAATAGGTTAGGCTGCGGGTTGGTTGGATGGGGGACTGGGTTACTGCACTCAGTTTACAAATTCACCATTGCAACAGCTGCATCAACAAGCCAAAAATTTACAGCAAAGCAAATTCTCCTTTTTTGTTAACAAATGCAAGTGTGCTCGCAAAATGTATTTTGGGGACGTTGGCGATCAAACATCAAAGAGTTAGTGTAGTCGTGACTCGTGAGAACTGTTCTGAAGTTTTTTTTATTCATTTGTGAAGGCATCTATATTTTCCTAATCGTTTTATTATCCCTTTCCAACCCACACTTTCACTGCATGGGTCACATAAAGATCTCTCAATATTGGGCATTACCTTTTCATTGCCAAGCCTGTTGTAAATGTACCGTAAGTAGAATAACACCAACTGTTGGAACTCTACAAGGCGCAGCCATTTGTTGTGGTTAGCAACGTTATTTTCATTGGAAGTTCATCGGAATGTCATAATGTCCTACAAAAGTCCTGCTTTATATAAAACAGCAGGTACAAGCCTGTTTTATAATAACACCCCCCCCCCTAATTCCATATTTTTGTAGTGCAAAATAAATACATTCATTACACAACTGTCGTCGAATGGCAGTGAAAACAACTTCTCAAAGTCACTTCACACAGCAACACTGGGGTTATTCTTGCGCTGATGAAAAGAACACCCATTTACCCAACTTCGGCTTAAGCCGCAAGAGTCAAAACACTTTCGCGTGTTTTCCCCCCTCTTTTGAGCAGTTGAACTGTAAGTAAACGGGTCGTCCCTCATATTTTGATAGCGAAGAACTTGGAGAATAAAGCAACTTTAACCTCAAGGTATTGATTCTATTCTGGAGTGTGAGTCTAAAAGTGGGGGAATGGACATTTTTTTCGTGGATACAGGCAGCCTTTGAAGGAAAAAAAACATCCTCTGCACAAACATGACCTATGGGATGAATAAGTAGGCCTATTGGCACTAGGAAGTCCCCGCGTTGCAAACTTGGTCCCGGCAGTTTGGCTGCGCTGGTGCAAGGTACATGACTTGTACGTAACCCAAGATTTCTTCTACACGGTGCGGGGTAAGTTGCTTGGCGGGGTACCGCCGGGAGAAAATTCGGGAGTGTCGATACAAATAAGGTTCAGTTAAGGTAAGTTATTTCACACTCACTCTAGTTACATGAATATGTGTTTTTTATAAATATTCAGTAACTATCGAAGGAAAAGTATATAGGTGTATAAACTGATGTCCGAAATTTGAGAATGAACAGAGTTAACCTGATGGTTTTTAGGGTTTTAATCCAAAATATGACCTCTGAAAGGTATAAAGCTTGAAAGTAAACTGATTTTTTTTTTATTCAAAAGTTGATTTTCTATTAAAAAGGAATCTCGTATAAAAAGTCATTTTGACTGTCAAGCATTTTCAAGAATATCGAAGGCAAAATATTCCGTTCATCTTTCGGACTTTTTACTATACGTCCAATGGAAAATGATATTATTGCTCTAACTTTGATAAACAACTGCAACGTAAATGATGCTGTTAGCAGTAAAATCTCTGACGGAAAATGGCGAAATGTTGTTGTTTGTTGCAACATGACTTTATTAGCAAGTTAAGTGTAACTTAATTAAACGAGACAAGTCAAGCCTCGTACATTGATCTCGGATCTCAGAGCACACACAATTCCATCTAAATAAATCAAAAGGGATTTTCACTGAAAGTCTTTTCATGCATGTGGTTTACCACAACAGCCCATTCATTGGCGTCATGGGGTAATCCTATACAATAGCACTGCACTGCCCGGCTCACATTAGTGAGTGTAACTTGGTTCAAAGATGACTCTACAATGTATATAGGCGGGCCAATGGTACCAGCAGTGATATTGTGATATTGATGGCAAGTAGAACATTCCATGATACCCTTGTTATAAGTCAAACATTTTTGATTTAATATTACTACTTGCACAAGTATATACTTGATAAAAGATTGGCATTCCGTTAAATGTCGAGTTTCTGAACGGCAATTATGCGTTTGCATAGCGGGATTCCACACAAAACAAACAAGCAATTCGTATATGAACATAGCATTACATGCATTATAATCCTATATAAAAGCTCATAAATATTCATATTACTAAACTGGATACTTTTATAAGCACACACGCCCCTCTCGATATGTGAGCAACAGTGATGGGAGTTTGGCATTTGGTGGACGGTTTGTACCCGGGTAGGATTACCGACTATGCATTCCATCAATGCATTAAAGACTAATCTTTAATTCCTGGACAGTTGTTCCAAGGTGATGTGCTATATTACTGTGTAGCATTTTCATATAGGCTTATGCAAAAGATCGCAAAGACCTTACCAACATTAACGGGAAAAGACGACACTGGGGAGATTCTATTTCTTTTGGGCAAATCATCGTCGAAGACACTTTCTCAAGGTAGGTCTCTTTTTTATTTTTTGGCTGTAAGCTGCTTTTTTGTCAGTAAGATGCTAGCACTATTTTATGACTTTCCCCAAAACATACTTATACACATACATGTATTCTTTTTTTGACGCTTTGCAAACTAAAACGCCGTTATTCTAAATTAAAGGGAATATACAACATTTGCAAACATCGAAAAATAAAACTACCAAGTTTTTGCGAAATACCTTAATAGGATGTTGGTAAATGACAGTCTAAAGCATCCTGTAAAATTATGGCACCTGGTATACTGTCATTTTCACGAAAAGTGGTATTTTTGTATCAATTTCCAACGCTGATCGGCCGATCAGCGTTGGAAACAACTGGTTTTTTTTCAAATACTGGCCCAAATTGACCATTGCACTTGTTTGCAATCGATTACAAACCTATGAACGGGTACGAGCCAGCTAGACTGGTTCCCTGACCTTACAATTCCCCAATGTATGTAACTGCTCTGTTTCTTCTTATATGGAGTCAGGGAACCAGACTACAGGAAAATGATCGTTTTCTTGGTTTTTATAGCATTTTCGAACCCAAAACCTCCAAAAAGTCAGTGTAACTATATTTGCTTTATATTTCCAACCCCAATTCCATCCATTTCTGAAAATTACAGCAAAAGCAAATGATGTATATTCCCTTTAACAGTGATTATCATGATAATACAGGTTCTTATATAGCGCTGTTAACAAGATCACAGCGCTTTACAAAGAAAAAAAAACAATAACAAAAAACTAATCGGAATGTCCGTTCGTCTGCTGACATTGAAATTAGTAGTAACAACGATTATTGAAGAAACATAACACGGAGTGAAAGTTGATAAAAAAAAAAGATTCGAGAAGATTTGACTTGATTATAGAGTAATTCAGAACCCAGTGAAGGTAAAGTAATTTCTGTTTTACTAAATTAGGGTGCGAGCACTGCTGGATTTTTCAGTTGACATTTTAAGTTTATACCAAACTCGATCATTGTGCATTCGTCTTTAACAATCGATTTTATAGCACCATTCAATGAAAAAAACTTCTCGAGATTTGTCACATCAACTACAGGCAAATGTTGATATAACCCTTTTTCAAAGTGCTCACTGAAAAGAAGTCACATTCATATATTCTTTGTGACTGATCTAGAAAGGAGTGCGTGGTTTTTGGCGGGTTTATTTTTTTTTTATGCCTACTAACTTGTGTGCGTCATGTATGGTATATAGGCATACTTTGCGATCACTTCATTTGACCTTGAATTTCATATTGAAGCATGTATTAAAAATGAGTTGCTTTAATTAAATACATAATTAAAGCTCCTGCATTACCGGAGTGTAGGCCTATTACTAAAAAAAAAAACTCAAGCGCTCCAAACGGGGGATTACATACTTCAGTCTATAAAGAGTGTGATATCATTATTTTTTTACAGAAGCCTTGGGATTCTCTGTAACATTTACACGTTGTAACTGTACGTCTCCTCCCTCAATGAAGCCTGCCCCAAGGCTCATAAACCTGAAAGGTAGGACTTTCTAGGTACAGACATTTGGCACAGTATCTGGCAGACAATAATAGCCCAGCACCGCGGGGCATGATTGCAGACATCACATTACATCAGCTCTTAATAACCATAACGATGTGTACCACTAGATGGGAGAAAAGATCAGCTGAGTTGTTAACCTTTCCACGACGACACTCTCGAAGAGAAAATGTAAGAGAGCCTGGGTTTTGCACATGCTTAGCGCTGGTACTTTACGTGCTGGTGGTACAGGGAGAGCAATTTCATTACGGGGATGAAATTCCAACTCCAGCGGGTCGTCCCGAGGTTGGACGCGGGGCCGGCAACAGCATGAACGGCGCCGTCGGTGTGAGGGTGCACGCTCGCTGAACTTTCTGCCCACTCGATAATTTTTTTTTTCTTCAGTGTTACCGGTGGTCTTCCGTGGTTGAATATGCTGATGCACGCATTAATCCTGCGACATCAATAATATCAATGCAAGTTCATGATCTAATTTTTGCTCTTTAAATTTTGTTTCGGGTCTTCAGGATTCCATTTCATTTCCCCTCCATCTCCTTTACGTGCCCCATCATCGTTAGCCCATATCTTTGTTACCAGTGCCTCGAAAGAGGCTAAGACATGCAAAATCACTGCAAGAAATTTCCTTAACTTTTGATACAAAAGAGAAATAACACAGTCTCCGACGCTTGATAAACATTCGTTAAACCTACCACTATTTCTAATTTTTTTTGGGGGGGGGGTAGCTCAATCATTCGGTTCTAAGTTCACATCTGTACAATAATTGTTACAGTCAACAATTCCGTTCACCGTTAACGCCTGAAGCTCTACAGTAGTCGAAAACTTTTTTTTCTCGAACCAAACAGTCAATTTGGGCTAATCACTGGCTCATAATGCACCGTTTAGGGGGTCGGCTCCAGGCCCCCTTCCCCTCCATTCAACCCCCACAATGACCCACATCCAATCGAATTAAACCTGAAATCTGCTGCCTCAGGGGGTTAACCCGAGGGGCTTTCAAACAAAGTTTCCACTGAGGTCAACATATTGTGTTCCATATGGGATTGTTCAAGTTTTAACTTGGAATTTCATGTCCGTCACTGCAAGGGTACATTTTGCTGTGCTATATACTGTTCTTCGTGAAATTTGACAGGAACCGTGTTGAAAAGAACTCCCTCTGAAAAGCTACTCTATTGGCACCTGGAGGGCAACAGTCACTTTAAAATCATTTCTTTTCATCCATTCATGTTCAGAATTCAATCTTATGCCGACATCTGGATTATGGTATTAAGATCTGATATTTCCGAGTCAATCACATAAGTCTATAATTGATTCCATTCCAATTTCAATTTCGATACCTTTCAGCACGACTTACCGGATTAGTGCAGACTGGAAAATATTTGTCGTGCAATTGAATTTGACTGGCTGTAAATATTTCTCCACAAAGTTACCGTAGTTATGACATTATTATTCATTTTTTCACAATTTAATTCACTTTGATACAATCGTGTCGGCTATTATACTATCCTGAACTATCCCGTACCGGTACCATTTCCAATGGTCCTGTAGCTCACAGATTCGAGTCCCGTCTTACTGAGCATGCAATGCGGCGGACTTCTTGACAACATGAGCACTTTTCATGCACTCGAAACGAAACGAAACAAAAACTCGACAAAACACAGAACGGAGGACCTGGTTCTGTATGCCTTTCGGCTTACAAAGAAGGCCATATTTTAACCGACGGCTTCTTACGGCACTAGAGTTTAAATGGCTAACGAATTATGTGTAAATTAGCCCAATTGTCTTCCCGAAATGACAGGTGCAAAATCTAATTGATACCGATACCAAGAAAGTCGGCGACATTGGGTTGCGAACAGCAGGAGTAACCCTAACCCGGTTAAGTTAAATAGAATGCTGGGTATTTCAACCGAGTATCACGAACAGTTCCACCCATTTTGCATGTTATTTTGTTAAACATTTCACATGAACGTCAAATTTTGTCATGTCTCCTACAAAACCACCTTTGATCTGTCATAAATATTAGACATCTTTTCATTAACAATATTTCAAACATCGTTACCTAAATTTTTGTCTAAGTCGTCGAGGCCTATAGTTAATTCAATTCAAGCCTCTTGTCCGGTCCCATATATGCATATATATCTCGATATGCTAATAGAATGTAACAAAACTTTGATTCATTACTCTTTGAACATTCTTTGTCGATGTTCCAGACGGCATAAATCAGACACCATATCAGCTACCTCGCAAGTCAGTTTTCGATTGATAAATCAGTGAAATCAATATTTCAGCGAGGGGAAATCAACTCCAGCAGTTTCCAATTTTTTTTTCCAAAAGCATTTTAAGGAGTAACCAAATCTGTTATTCAAAATGCAAGGTCCCCTCTCCCAGAAGCATTGCGTGTTAGGGTGAGTGGCATTGGGATACCTTTTTTTTTCAATTGAAACGAAAGCATCACTGTGTTTTCACTGCAGGACACATCTGAATTGGTGTTACACCCAGCAACCAATGAGAGAACAGTAAGACCACCACTGTGAGGTACGTCTACCCAATTCCCGCCCCCATCTGTGCTCCCACGACCGTCGTGAATCGGGCAGCTGCTTCGCTGTCTAAATTCCCAGGACTCGAGAGTCTTCCAGGACTTTAGCGAGCCCGTCGGACCAAAATTTGGGATTACTCACCAACTTGGAATTATATCTCATCCAGAGAAAAAGTTCCTAGCTGTATTTCACCGAAGGAGGACAGGATGATCCCCCTTCTAGTGTTTTGTTTGGCTTGGAGCCATCTTTGGTCGCCCGTGAGAGCGTCTTGCCGTGACGGGGGTCAGTTCGGGGGAGCTCTGTGCTGCCAGGGGAAGGATCTTAATTGTGTGGCGGAGGGTTACAGGGTCAACTCGCCTTACTACCACGAGACCTGCTTCTGCGACAAGGCGTGTGTGGATAGCAGGGACTGCTGCTCTGATTACGAAGCGGCCTGTCCAGGTAAGGACACTTTTGGGTGATGGGAGTGGTGTGGTGGTGGTGATAATGGGGATGTGGTGATAGTTGGGGGAGGGGTGATATAGATGGGTGATTGTGTTAGTGTGAGGATTGTGATGGTGGTGAAGAAGAAGGGGATAATGAAGGTGAAGATGGTAGTGGTGACAATTGTAATGATGGTGACAATGGTGATAACAGTGGTGATGACCGGGTTGATGATGGTGATCATTGTGAAGAATATACATGTGATGAAGGTGAAAATGATGACGATTATAATTATGGTTATTGTGGTAAAGACTAAATAACAATCATCCTATGAAGATCATGATTATGGTTATTAAGGTGATAATGGTGATGATATGAATAATGGTGATGAGGTATAAGGATGGTGATGATGACGATTTTTTTATATTATTGTAAAGAAGGTGAGGGGGATGAACTTGTTGGTGATGCTGTTACCGATACTGTTGTTGCTGCTTATGATGCTGATGATAATGTCGATGATGATGGTATGAAGAAGTTGACGATGGTGTTGAAGACGGTGCATAAGGTTGATGTTGCTGCAGCTTATGGTGGTAGTATGAGGCAGAAGATGCATGGAGCGTGTAACGAGAATGGTTCAAATTGACAATGATTGTGCTGACATTAAATGATGGTGAATTCATACGATGATCTGCTGACGATGACAACCACTTAAACGTGGAGAGTATTAGTATGATACTGTAAAGACATTGACACTTGCAATTGTGCAACAAGGTAAATGGTGCATTGTGATGACGAGTGCGAATGTGTTCACAGTTTTGACTATTTGAGGTGGGGATGATCGTAATGAAAACACGACAATTCCCATCGCTCGATTACGATCACCAAAATTACCACAATGGGCCTAATCATCATTTTGTTCACCTCATGCTTCCAGTTATAAAAATCTGTGACTCGGATTTCGGCACATCTGCACGAGTTCCCTTTTCATATTTTTCCGCAAGACACAAATACATTGCTGGGAATTTCCAGTGGAGTGTGATGTTTATATCAAGACCTGGGAGCCACTTCGAACGTTGAAAACTACATTCCATTCATTGCATTTGTCGTATTTTATTTAGGCCCAACTATTTCCGTCGTGTCAACTTATAAATAGGTGTAATTTACAGGATGATTCTCAGTGTTGACGGAGTAAACCACTGGAATTCTTAAACTGTCTCGAGCTTTCAGAGGCAAGCAATAGAAAAACAACGTGGTTGGCTGATATGTAATTACGCATTAATATCTTTTGGCACAGATCGATGTCCTTAGACGATACAATTGAGTTGAATTCTAAACCGAAGTTTAAATTCTCAATTGAAATCTCGATTGATAACTTGTTTCCCATAATAATTTAATACTGGCGTCCATACAACTTTCAAACCGGCTCAATTTACGAAAATGTCAATCCTTCATATACCAAGAACGATTTTCTTATCCTTAAAAGTGTGCCATGCAGAGCTGTATGTGTGGTCTTGTTTTGCTGTTGAACGTGTGGTTGTGTGTTTAACAAAACAAAACGTGACGATTTTGAATTCCACCGTGACATTTCATTTGGCCACTGACCCAAATATTCGACCTAAAAATATCTCCTAAAATAAACTGCTTCAAGTATCAAAAACTGCGAGGCCGACACATCTCGCCATATGGGCAACATCTCGCAACTCGGTATTAAAAATTCTTTCAATGATGAAATACTGTTGCCATACCTAGATGTAGAACAAAAGATATTCCAATAGCTTTTTTCCCCACGCGCTGCATCTCTTTGGAATTCCTTGCCTGGTGCTTGTTTCCCTCCAACCTATGATCTGTCCTGGTTCAAGAGGAATGTTAAATCCTACCTTTAGTTTTTTTCTGATTATTTACACTTCTGTTTATTTCTCCTGTAGCTCTGTACCTTGAGTGCATGGCTTTTAGCGTTGTTCAGGGCAAATATGCATTAAAAAACCCAGATTATTCACTCCGTATACCAATTAATTAAATTAAACATCACTTGGTCATTATAGCTCAAGAAGATATGCTTTCATTACAAATTGTCATATTAATTGGGGGAGCTTTAGAGGTAATAAGTTTTTGACTCTGTAGCGGAAAATGACATAGTGTGGCTCGATTAATGATGTACAAAACAGGGCTTAATGTGGTGACTTCTAAGGAAATTCTGGCGCTCCTTGAGATTTTTTTTTCTAATTTTGCGAAATTTCACAATATTGTCTCCTTTAAAACAAGTCGAAACATTAAAACAAACAAACAAACAAACAAACAGACAACCCATCAATGTAGGACAGTGAAATGTGACATTGAGCACACCATGGTGCCCGTCACGACGACTCTCTCAAAAAATCTCCTGGATTTGAAATCAAAAAAACAAATTGTCAACAAAATGTCCTCGGGCGCCCTAGGCTATTAAAAAAAATTAGACGAATGAAAGTAGTTTGTCAAGTTTTGCCTGTTAACAGTTTGCTAACAACATCCCCTGTGGACAGACAATACCGAACACATTTTTAAAAATCACAGGGGGTGGCACGGTCAGATAAATACCGGGGCTCACAGGGCGTTGGGTGAAAGCACTTTCACCTTGGGGCAGCTGTTGAGAATCCAGGGCATTGGCACGCGTGGAAACAGCACGGTACCTTTCTGAGCATCGGGGGCATATTTCCCACAACTGTTGCATTTCAAACTTATAAAAGCAAACGATTTTTCTATCATAGGTTACATTTTGGCAACATAGTACTCGAGACCACGACGAGTCATCACAAATTAACGCACAGTGAAGTCAATCACATATCATCCATCATACACGCCCAAGTCAAGCCACAAGCTATGTCTCAAGAGAACTGACAAAGACCTTTTTTTTTGTTCCTCCCATGTTTCGACCGAACCCATGATGGACTTTTGATGGACTTGATTACGCACGTTTTGCACTTTTTTTTAAACAGTTAACTGTTTATTGTCCGAATCACGCTGAAATTCAATCATCTCAGACATCTCAAAACAACATTTTGGGGGCGAATTTTGATGTTAATATCTTCTCTTGCGAAGTAAAACGTCTAACTACTCGCTAATATCTCTGAATGTACTACATTTACTACCTAAAAATACATCTCGAGTTCCTAAAAAATGTTCACAAACAAAGTTTGGGTTTTTTTGAGGGAGGGTAATAAAACGGCCCAACCTAAGTCAATCTGTTCTTCCATCTATAATTCATTCAACAATGATCATCTTGTCCAAATTTTTACGATAGGCTGATTTTGTCAGTCATCTTTATTCTTTAAGTTTCACTTCATCATCTTCCTCCAACCCTCTGGCTCTTAAGTACGAGTCTCATGAACACAAACACACTTAGATTTTTTCTGAGCACACAATGTTTGTTGCTACCTAACAGTACTGCCATTATAATGGGAATATACAACATTTGCAAACATCGAAAAACACACAGCTACCAATTTTTTACGAAATACCTTACTAGGATGTTGATAAATTACAGTCTAAATCATCCTGTAAAATTATGGCACCATGTGTGAAGTCATTTTCAAGAAAAGTGGTATTTTGTATAAATTTCCAACGGTGGTCGGCCGACCACCGTTGGAAAAACCTAACTATTTTTCAACTACTGCTCCAAATTTACCATTTTTTTTCAGTCCAAATTTTGTTTGTTGTTGGTTACATGTTCATGAACGGGTGCAGGCCAGTTAGACTGGTTCCATTACCTTACAATTTTCCGGCATCTGTAAATTGGTCCATTTCATCTTTAGTGAAGTCAGGGAACCAGACTACTTGAACATTTTTGTTTTTCTTGGTTTTTCCAGTTTTTTTAACACAAAACTTCACACATGTCAGTGTAACAATATTTGATCTGTTATACTTACCCTCAAAATAGTTCATTTCTGAAAATTACAGCAAAAGCCAATGAAGTACATTCCCTTTAAAGTGTCTACTGCCTACTCTATCTTAACTATTTCCATGATTTTTCTTTTCTACCGCATCTTTTCTTTTTAGCCGTGGACTGCGAGGTCTCCTCATGGAGCTACTGGAGCGGATGCAGCGTACTGTGCGGTATTGGCGTCAGCGAACGAAGACGCTACAAGATCAAGGACCCCGAAAATGCAGGAGATAAGTGTCCCCCTTTTCGCCAAATGAGGGCGTGCTTCGCAAGCTTCTGTGAAACAAATGAGATCCCTGCTAATGGTAAATACTAGACAAAACCTTTTTTTCCTAGGACAAAACATGTTGACATATTGAAAATTCCAAAATGCTCTGCCATGACTTGACATATTGCACAAAATGACTGCACCCAAAACAACTTACATTCAAAGTACATTGGAAATACCGCTTCTAAATCTTAGAATAGGTTTAACACCCAACTGCACCAAATGTTAAAATTAAGCGGTCTTACAAAGTTTGTATTAAAATATATCTGACTAAATTTTTTATTTGACTCTCACGATTTGGTATCTTTCCCAGGTATTGCACTAGTCCTTCCATACTCCTACAATGCAAGAAGGGACGATCCGGATTTGAATCGTATGAAGAATTTCCTCATTAGTTTGGGCCAGTACAAACCGTAAGTTTTTGATTCAGAAAACAAGCACGAATGTTAGTGGTAGCAAATGATATGATGCAAATTTATTTACTTTATCTACGGATATAAACACGAGTTAATATAGTGTTAAGAGATATACCAGCGTTAGAATTTCCAGTCATTTATATAGGCTGTAACAGTAACACGTGCAAATTTAGGAACATGATGAATTGTTTAGGAAATTCAGGTACTGGTTCGTATGACTTTTGTACTGACGAAACGACACGGGTCTACATCTAACGATAGTGCCTAGTGGCATTCTACAAAGATGTGCTAGAAATGGTGCAGCAAATTCTTCTCACAAACGTTTTTACAAACGTTTCGCAGATACATTATAATAATGACATGTACTTACTATTTATTGTCTTGGTTTTCCACATTCCATAGCTTTGACAGTTACTGTGTGTATTTCAAGGTGACTGGGAGGAACAAAAGCTGTCGATCCAATCGAGATAGCGTGTGGGCCAACATCATCAAGAAAGGTATTCCGAAAAGTGAATGACCCCCAAAAGTGAACATTCCCTGCGCTGTTTTGAGCGTTTGTTTAGCTCGAACTGATAATTGAAGTCCAAACGTCATGCCATATTTCTGCCAGATGGCAAAAAGAATGTGACTGGTGGTTTCCAAGGTGAAAATGTTGCAAGAATGCCATGCCAACCATTCCAGCCCTGGCCACATGTACCCGAAGTGACCTTTTCCGAGTTTCCCGCCCAAAGTGTTGACGGTGTCTAGAAGGAATTTTGGAATTTTCAAAACTATTCTTGATTAAAGGAAACTACAAGAGAAGTGAACACTTTTGAGTCACCGTCAATTTTAATGCACGAATTATTGATATCAAATGTGGATATTCAATTCGTGAGGTTTTGTTTGTGTAAATACTTATTACGCGATCTCCTTCAGGGTACCGTTGTTTGGACATGTTCTTGGTCGTCTGCTCGCTGCTCATAAACATGGCTGGTTTCAAATTTCCACTCACCGGAGTATTGCGAAGGGTGTTTAATTAGTTCTCTGATCCTTTATCTTAATATTGATGAAGAAATTAAGAAATGGACCACAGGTCTGATGTCTACCAAGGTTGCTTGCTACTTTTCAGGGAAAATATTTTTAAAATGTAGGCTACTTTGAGGTCATTGTTCAAAATGGGCACTCAAAACATAAGCAAGTTTCCGCCCCTGGCGCTAGTTACGTTATTCATGACGTTTCTTAGAATTCCATGTTATTTCAAATTTTTGGTGTCGTTATTTATCAGGTACATTAGTCTGCGTGGAATGTACCCAACCTGCCTTCGACAACGACGGCCGGTGTCGCGGGGAAGGCACCGAGGGGAAACGGACGCGCTGGTCGGCGGTGGATCTGCCCAAGTGCCGGGGCCGCTGGGTCCAGACATCGATACAGGAAAAATGCAAGTGCAATACGGGCTCCGATTTAATATTTATTTGAACCACCAGAAAAGTCGGATCTCCATCAGGGATTTATTATGCAATCAGTGTAGGTTATTTCTCCTGAAGTTTAAAGTTTGTTTGGTAAATCCAGATCAAATTGATGCAGATACAAAGACCTTATTTGAATAAACCATGTCCCCCCCCCCCTTAAAACAAAAAATAAATCCCCAAAATGTAATCGTTGCTTACGATGGCTTACCATAATACTCGATATGTCAGCCGTTTTGTAAACTTAGGTATTGTTTTGAAGACTGGAGTTTCTTGTTAAACTTTTCATATAATACTCATCAGACATGGCGCTATGTATCTTCTTTTTTTTTTTTTTTTTTTTTTAAGTAACTCACTTCTAGCGTACCTTCAAGGCTTCAACATTTTTATAAATAAAGCTCTCTTGATAATCGCAAGGCAGTTAGAATTCTGAAAACTAAAGTCTTGTTCTGTACAAAATTGTTTTGTTTTTACTTTTATGAAAAAAATTAGTAGCAATCCATGTAGTATGTCTTGTCAAATTCCAGTGTTTGAAATTAAAGTGAATTCCCTGTAGAAAAGTCTGTATGTAAATAATTCCTATGAAATGCCATTCTAATAAGGGGGAGACATCTGAATATTAATAGGCGCAAAAATGACAAAATGTTTTATCTGTCTCTCAAGGAGTCATTTTAATAGTTGAATAATCGTACATAATAATATCTGGCACAAAATTATACCTCGAAATTAGAGACAAAATATGACAACTTTTCCAGACTAACATTATACAAAACATCTAAATGCTGCTAAAAGGTTTAACGGAGTACAATTAGTTTGTGTGATGTAGGCATAGATAGACAACAGCATGTATATATAGTGATATTGTGAATAACTGGTGGTGCGTTAGTGTTTTTTTATAATCGCTAAACATTGCTTAGATTAATGTGATAACCGCTTTTTAAATTTCTTTTAATAAGAATGAAAATATGGTTGCTTCAAGATGGAAATACGCATTTGGCGTTACCATGCTCACTCCTATTTACCGACTCATTGCAATCTTTTATGTAATCAAGTATTTTTGGAAGATGTTCGCAACTTTATCGGTCAGTGTTTCAAAGAATACAAGTTCAGAAAGCATCTTACCTAACAAGACAAAATCATTGTTGTGTACCCTACCCAAAAGTGTGAACAAATAACTTTGGGTCTCCACATAAACGGGCACCAGACCGTTATTTTGAACACAAGCTTGACCATAATTCCATAAAGTATTTGAAAGTCTTGTGGATTTACAACGGCCAAATTCCGATAAAAGTATTCTGATTTAAAAAAACAAGCCGAGTACAAGAAAGACAACATCAAGTTTACAAATGACAACAAAACAATGGATACTAAATCATAGCACTTTACTCCGTGTAGCTACTGCAAAAATTCACTCTAGTAAATATAGTGTATCACAGTGTTGTTTTTTTAAATTAGCACAAAAGCAAGTTGACAATCTAACTCAACTTGTTCTTCCACATTCTTTGTGTGAACAGTTTGAACACGCGAGAACTTATTTGCTTAAACAGATGTAAATTGTACGAAATCAAAAATCTGAGGTCAGTTTCTGGTGATTAAGAATTTACAGAGTTTTACGAGCACTTTAAGCCGCGAGTGAAAAAAAGAAAACCCCCAAAAACGCAGCAATGTTTGCAGAACATTTTTTTTTTTTTTTTTAACAACTTGCTGCAATTTATAGACAAATCTTCGGTATTTAAAATTTGATGTAAACTGAAATTTGTGTTCATGTAACCTTATTTTTGTTCAATATATTTTGTTGGTTGACATTAATTTTTTTGTAAAGACAGCAAATTTTCTTGGCATGGGTGGCTGTAAAATAAAGATGTGACAAAACCACTAGACTTGTCCATTGATGAGCTTCATTTCCCTCAACACTCTTTTGTCCTGTAAATCTTAATCCATAATTTCCATGTTTTGAATTCCTCTATCAAAGAATGTGCTCAGCCGACTTTTTTTTAGCCCCAAATCCTAATTGTAATGTCTTTTAATTTCAAGCAACAAAAACGACAATCAGCAAGAATTTACAGCTAAAGAAGCGCCAATTTATAAGCCTTTCTGTTCATTCAGAATTTTTAAAAAGGCAGTTTGAATTATTGGATTTTTTTTTTTTTTTTTGGTTTGATTTTTACGGCAAGTACAAATTATACGCCCTTTGCTCAAAATATCCTTTTAAAAAAAGAAATATATAAAATTAGATTTTAATGGACGATCACTAAATCTCAATTCTATCGCTGTACCTTTTATTCACAATAGTGTTATCCTGAAGTATATTGATTAGCTATAAATCTACGCCAAACTTTAATTATTTTTTTACAAACAGCTATTTTATAGGCAGATACAAAAAAAAGCCACTACTCTAGTTACGGAATGTTAAACACTTGCCACCAACCTATTCACATTAAGTATGTCCGACTGGTAATAACAATTACTTCCCCTCTCTCCATGTTTTTCGGGAGATGGAATGAATTAATCACCGATGGCGTTACAAAAATATCACACCTACCCCCTAAAATATATAATGGTTCAACCCTAAGCTTTGGTGATTGGATCAATCCATTCCATTCCCGGGGTTGACTGCTTCCTTTCCAAAATATATCAATATGTATTGTCAGAACACAAGTTTCAATTCTAGTCTAAGCTACTGAATACATTCTGTACTTCCCACTTTTTGACTAACACTACACATGAACAATCTAACTGACTACCTATGCTACCATATTTTTCGTTTTTACCTCTGTATATAAAAAAAATTATCACTGAACATTAATTTTACATTACTAATAATTTTGTCGGCATCGTTTTTTAATATTCTTATAATATATTTTCTAACATTCAACATGTTGGTACAGCGATTTTTTTTTCTCCCAATTTGTTTTATTTCAATTTTTAAATTACTTTTTTTTTTTAATTTTTTATACCAGGTTTTGTATTCAACAACTTATTCCTACCTATAATTTGTACACTAGTGCCATTTTTTTAAAGTGTTATTTTTAAAGTCATTCACATGAGTGATTAAAAAAAATGCATATCGGCTGAGCACATTCCTAGGCCCTTTCAAATTAAATTTTCTGTCACGTTTTGAGTGTCATTGCTTAAGGGTTACATATCAGTATTTGTGAAAGAAAAGAGAGACAACCTAAAAATCATGAGACATAGAGCTATACAATAAAGACATGAGCACGTAACGTTGTCTTTGGTCTTTCTGCAGAGGAAGGGATCGGAGCTAAAGCAGCGCGTAAATATATACAGAGAGGGAAGAAGCCTGTACGAAACTCGCACAAAGTAACAAAGCTGTCTATGCGAAGCCTTGGCGATTACAATCGGTGCCTAAGAAACAACAGCACATCTCACCAAATACAGATGAGAAAAGAGGAAGTCAATATTTAAGAGCTGCAATGCACACTACTTTTTGAGGCCGCAAAAAAAAAAGGGTCCACAAAGTAACATGTTTCCCTCCAAGTTTATTTTGTTCCCCAAAGTTAAACTGAGATCCGGATGTTACCAAAAACAGCAAACAAAGGAATGCATGGACTAAGAAAAAAATCATAATGCATTGCCCACAACTGCACAGGAATCACAAATATAACTTTCCTGCTACGCTTAAAATTGTGAACTCCGAAAAAAAACCACTTCAATATTTTGATCAAAAGGTGTTGTTTTTTTTTAAATGTGCAGGCTTGAAATAAAATGCAAACCAAATACAAGTGCTTTTTGAAAATACCCTTAGGCTGTCAGCTGATGGTTTGATCTGAAAAATTGCTTGACGCTTTTTTTCTGGTGGGGGCCACTTTTAAAACACCAAATAATATGCCAGAAATTATTATATAGCTCTATACTAGGGATGTACAGACAAAATAACAAAAACACCGGGCAAAGAATTAAAAGCCACATCCGCCTCCAATTTTGTCTCACAGAAAATGAAAACGTCACTTATAAATTCTCGGCAAATTTATAAGGAGTCTTTTCAATAACCTCTACTGTTCTTGCAATTTTTTCCAAAGCAGCTGTATTTATTGTTTTAACAGTTGGGAATTTTTTTCTCACATTGTAAAGATGAGCACGTAATTTTCTTTACTCATTTTTTTTTTTTATACTTGCAATATTTTCACACCTTAAAACTAGTCCTCACTCCTGGACTTTTGTTTTTTTAGTTTTTAATTTTTTTTTGAGAACTTTTCAAAAGTAGAGGTTGGATGGGCCCGTTGGTTCTTTCCCCCAGACTTCTATAATTGATACAATAATTCATTGATTCCATCTGTCTCACATGCCGTAGTAGCCCGGTTGCGGACCCATCATCCCGCCTCCTGGAACACCCATCTGTGGGGGCATCATCATGCCTGGCCCTGCCGTCAGCATTAGCTGGGGTTCATCTGGGGAGGGGATAAACCGTGAATGTTATTTGAGTAAACTTAGGAATAAAGTTATAATTTACAGAGCCACAGATCTTTCCGCCTTACCAGAAAATGGGAAAGAATTAATGGAATTAACCTTTTGGAACGGAATTCAGCTTTTTGGGAAAAAAACCCCAAAAGATGCAAAAACGTTGGAAACCAAATTCTTTCTGTAAAAGTCGTCCATTTTAAGCACAATTTTTTTGATTTTTCTTGCAAACGTTTTTATGGCTGAAATGGAATTTACTTTATCCTGGAAAGAAAGCAATATTTTTTTGGAATGGAAAACTGGTAACCAAATATTTTGCTTGATGTTGAAGTCTCAATTACTTTTCTGGGGGGGCTTTACTTCCCAATTTTGAAAATAAAATAAAAACAGAAAAAAAAAAAAAAAGAAGAAATTTGCTACTGTATTTCCGTACTTTACTAGATTACAGCATATATGGGAAATATTTTCCAGCAAGATTATTGAGAGAGTAAAGGTAAACAGACTTGGGAGTTGACTTACTGTAGACCAGGGGCTGATTTGTTTCACCCTCTTCGGCTCGCTCCTTCTCCGAGGCTGCCAACTTGTCAACCTGAGAAGGTAAGCCATTGAAATAGTCAATTAACCCTCCTGCTATTTAAACAGACATAGACAGTCAAAATTCACTTTCACTTGCTGTAGTATTTTACTTTTGTGACATGCAAACTTTAATAAACCCTAACTCCCTAGGCCTTTTTGCTGGAATGTAGCCTCAATCCTGCAAATCCTCCAATTGGCCTCATGGAAAAACAGCATATAGTCTCAATCCTGCAAATTCCTCCAGTATTTCTTGAATGTGGTCTGTGGAGGGTGACCACTGCCTGAATCCTGCAAAATCCTGCGGCAGTGACTGTCAATATGTTGAGGCTTGGCCAGTGACATCCTGGAGCAGTACGGAGGATTCCAAGCATAATGCAGGGCTAAATTTATGCATAGCTGAGCAAAAACAACAAAAGGTCCGGCCCAAGACCGTGACAAAGTGCATCCTACGAAATCAGTAATGCACTTTGCCATGTAACCTCAATCCTCCAAATTCCTCCACTTTGGCAAAGAGGATTTTGAAGGATTCAGGGCGGTTAGGGTTAAGCAGCTTTAACGCGTCAACGGAATGTCCGATTGAAGTGCAACAACGTGCATTGTAAGGAGAATTATATTCTCTTTCCCAATGCCCACAAACCCTCCTTTCGACCTCAACCCAGTTCTCTCTCGTTTTTGCCAGAATGCTTCACAAATTATAAGTCCTGCCAAATTGTACACAACTGTGATTCTGTGAACTATGAACCAGCCGTAGCAGAGCGGGGATTTGGGGTGGGATCCAGCCCTTACCTTGCTGAGGTATTCCCTCATGACCTGCACCATGTACGGCATGGCAAAGTCCATGATGTTGTGACGCCAGGCCAGCTCCAGGATGACGTCCGGGTGGAGCAGGTCGTAGCAGTTGAAGAGGCAGGCGCTGAAGCACTCGTGCAGGCCTTGCTCCAGGAACCACGCGATCAGCTCCTCCGAGGTCTCCGTCTCCCGCGATTCGCTGGCGTATTGCATGGCATCCTGGGATAGGTGGGGACATAGAGTTTGCAATTATAGAAATTTATGGTCAATTTACATGTACAATGAATAACTTACATTAAACCGTAGAAAACCTTGAGGTTAAACCTCAGAAAACTTTGAGGTTAAACCTCAGCAAACTTTGCAGTTAAACCTCGGCAAAACTTGAGGTGAAAACTCAGCAAAACTTGGCGTGAAACCTCAGAAAACCTTGAGGTTAATCCTCAGAAAACCTCAAGGTTAAAACCTCAGAAAACCTTGAGGTTAAACCTCAGAAAACTTTGAGGTTAAACCTCAGAAAACTTTGAGGTTAAACCTCAGCAACTTTGCAGTTAAACCGCAGCAAAACTTGAGGTGAAACCTCAGAAAACCTTGAGGTTAATCCTCATAAAATCTCGAGGTTAAAACCTCAGAAAACTTTGAGGTTAAGCATCAGAAACCTTCAAGGTTAAACCTAAAAAAAACCTTGAAGTGAAACCCTCAGAAAACCTCGAGTTTAAACCTCAGAAAACCTCAAGGTTAAACATTGAGGTAAACCTCGAGTTACCATCGTTTTAATTTTGCATTCTCCCCTCAAAATGCTGGGTGTAGTGATCAGTTGCCAACATTGCGTACAAAAAAATTTGGGATGCAAAAGCGTTGCGTAAAACCAGGAGCAAGTATTAAGGAGCTTCTTAACACCAGAAATATGCTAAGCACTGACAATTTTTTGCCGAGCAGAAGTAGGTTACCAGCCAAAATGCCTTGCTTTACATATTGCTTGTGACTGGTCCCGGCAGATTTTTGCTTAGCAGGTGAATTTGCAAAGCTTTATTTTTTGACTGACCATGAATTTGGGCCATGAGTTCACTGTAGCATACTAATCCATTCCGACTTAACTACCGTTTTGCTAGATACAGATACACACCAGTCTCTGACTGGTGGCGTAAGCAATCTTGAATCTTGCAAGAATCTTGTGAAATGGTAGTAGGTGATATTAAGCATCGCATATATCTTATGCACTGATGTCAGCTCAGATTTGAAAGCAAATGTTGATAAACATGTACACGAACTGTTCTTTTAAACCTTTCCATGATGAAGCTGTCACACAGTAGGGGTGATAACTTGTAATCATCCTTTAGGGAGGGGGACGGGATTTTTCGTACAAATGAAAGCAATCCTCATTTTCTCAAAACCCTAAAGTGCATTGCGAAAGGCTTTTAAAACTACGTTTCTTGTATATGCCTACTATTTAACAATGACAAGCTACCAACAGTGGCTTCAGACAAGGTAATTGAGATAATACAAATATTTGCTACATCATATCCAAAGCTGAATTCTGTATTAAGTAAAGCACCAGTCCCATGTATGGGCCTTGTTCACGAGTCGGCAGTACTGGATTGAGAGTGAGGTAAAATCTGGAAGTTGTATAGAGAAATAAAAGCAATGATGCTACAAATTACTACCAGTCTGCTCTGATGAAAAATTTAAAATTTGAATTTGGAATTCTGATTTGAAATCAGAATTTTGGTGTTGCCAAAATTTGTATTAAAAAGAGTCAACTGTCCTATCCTTCACATGAAATTGCTGAATTTTTCTCTTTTTTTTGGGGGGGGGGAGGGGGAATGCAGGCTCAGTTCTTTTGTTTGCATTAAACATATTTGAAAACAATGCAAAGTAATGAAGAAAACAATGAAGTAAAAGCTGGACAGTACTTACAGTGAATTTGCAGACAACACTTTCCACAAGCAACGAGAAACACATACCATAAATACAAGCACGACGGGAAAAGGAGATGTCGGGAGAGACACAGACAAGACAGCAAGGCTTACAGAGCCATGCTCGTGCTATTTCTATCTTGCCAGACAATGCACAGATTCATTAGCGTGCAGGGACCTATCTGACATGGGTTAATAATCTACGCTATTTGGAGGGTTACCGAGCACTGTGTTAGTGGGAAAATTAGCCAGGCTAAAGCAATGTTCGCATTGGACTTTTTTTTGGGGGGGGGGGAGGAACTAACAGATACTGTTGCCAACTTCACCGAGTCTGTTGTCAACTTAACCAAAATATTATGAAGTCCAGTGCGGACAATAGTCTAAGGAATATCCTCTTGCACAGCAAGAGTCCATGATATGCAAGCAGATTCGGCGACAAATTATGCAAAACAAGACTGCGTCTGGACCTTGAGATTCAGACCATTCAGCGGGCGCCTTCTATTCAGTGGGCACCTTTTCCGTAACCTGTTGTTGTACCACCAACACATGGCAGCCAAATTGACCAATCAACAGCTTGGTCCACATTTCTGATCGAAATGACGTCACAATTTCTAAGGCTGACTACGATTGGCTAGCGGGCTGGTTAGTTTTACTTAACCACTTCGCGCCGGGATTATTTTTTGCTGAAAATTTCGAATTTTCGCAAAAGGCTAAATTTTCCAGCCAGCTTCTGATATACAGCCAAACGCCACAAATACTGATTCGCATGAGTCATTTCAACAGTATTTGTACAATATTTCTTTGCAAAACCTCTTATGTTTCAAATTGCTGTACAATAGGCCGTGCACAACGGACATACTTCACGAGGCACAAGGGATTAGCGTGTTAAGACGTCTCCCGGAGGCGAGTCGAGGCAATCTCGACGTCTTAACCCGTAAGCCATGCTGATGTATCAGCCAGTGCGTGTTATCACGTCCTCCGATGCGAACTGGTTAACAAAAGATTTTCTCTGCGTGGTGAAATTAATCCAAGTGTGGACGTCTGGTAGAATAATTACAATGGACTGCTGGCAATTACCTGCAGTAACTTTTCACAAAAGTCCAATGCAAAAGCGGCTTAAAACTACAAAACTAAAGTCGCGCACACCACTACATCTAAAAGAATAGCCAAGAAGAAGAGTTTGCTGCATGCAATAGCAGTTGAAGATACTGTGCTTCTACAATGAAACAAACAAAAGCTGATTTTTTTTTTGCTGCTGGTCCTACTGCTGTTTCATGCATCGTCTTTAAAATTCTGACCGGCTTCTGGTTTGCAACATGTGAAGTGGATATGAGGAAAAGCAATATGACAACTTAAAATAAACTCATGGAAAATGTAAAAATATCCTGTGAAATTTCAGTTGATATTATGAAAATAAAAATTGTGATAAATACTTCTTAAAATTATTTTTGAATGGATAAATGCCGACATTGCAATGTAATTCTTCACATGAAAGAGTGATTTTTTTTGTTTTCAGGAAAAATTATGTGGCCAAATCATGATGTGTAAATTATAAGCATTGCAAGATGATAAAGCGTTCATCAAACACATTGAAGCCGGTCAGAATTTTCCAAGCAAGACAAAAATTATGCATTTTCGCTTGTGTGAAAGAAAGAAAGAAAGAGGCATATATAAGGATGTGAATGAAATTTCTTATTCTTCTCCTGATTTCAAATTCAAATTTCTGCAGACAATTTTTGACATCTTTTGGCACTGATAAGTTTCATCACAGTAAAGGATTAATTTTTTTTAAGCCATTTTTGATGCAACCCCCCCCCCCCCAAATATCACATTTTAGTTTTCAAACACAATGGTCATTTTGCTTCCCAAATCAAAAATCTACCTTTTCAAAGATACAACTATGCTATTTGAGGAATTCAAGGCGGGGCAAACCCAATTTTTTCTGGACATGTACATGCTCCGTAACTTCGACTCATGTATGAAGTATCTAATTGGCAATGAAATATGGTCACCTTGTACTGTACCCAATACGTCATTGTATAGCGCCCTCTATTGGTCAGGGATACAGATAACAGAAATCACATTAACTGAAACCCAGTATTTCATTGAGTAGCGCCTCAATGGGTCAGGAATAATGATTATGAGAAAGAAAATGTTCACCTTTAATATACCTCTTTCTAACACACACACAGCAGTAATGCAAGGCTTGTCGGCTGAAAAACACAGCCAAGCTAGCACGAGCATGCATTTTTTTTTCACACAGGCAATCGAACGGCCACAAAACCCCTTAACAATACCCTGTAAAGCTTGTCTTTCTTGCACAGCTCCACGGCCTGCTTCCAGCGGTTGTTGCGCTTGTAGAGGTAGGCGGCGATGCGCCGGAACTCCAGCAGCTCGTGCTTCTCCAGGCGCTGGGCCAGCGCGATGTTGTCAAAGTTGTCAAAGGCGTCGATGGAGGTGCGCAACCCCTGGTAGTCCTCCTCGTCGATCAGGAGACCGTTCAGGGCATCGTTGATGGCCTTGGAGAGAAAAAGGAATGCGGATTAATTCAATTGGAGGATAAAATATACTGAAACAGATGAAGAAAACAAAGTTGGCTGACGATTGTTACATGCAAGTGTACTGATCAAGGCATGCATGTTTTCCACAGGCTATTGAAAGACTAGGATCTCGATTTCAATTCGAAAGTTGCCCAGTCATATTTTGAATTGGGCCTGAAATCAGCATCCGGGACACGTTCTCATTCGGCCGATTGCAGGTATGCGATGTCACGCACTGAACCGACAAATAATAGCAACTGCTTCTGCGTCGCGTCAAAGCTTGCGCGCACCCACCCACGGACTTGCCCAATTACAAACCAACTATTAACAGAAATTTTCTAAAAATGTGTCACTTGACACATCTTTGGAAATGACCTTCTTTTATTGTTTTCTTCAATATTACAGCATGCCAGAAGGAACAATTTCACAGGGAGTTTAGTGCCATTGCTGTCTCTCAACCAAATAAGCTCTTCAAAAATAATTTGGTCGGTTGCTTTTTGGATAGCTGCAAATGGTCCACTCCACCTTTAATGATGAAGGACAAACTGAGAGGACTCTCACCTTGTTGTTGTGGTTCTGCACCTGTCGCAGGTAGGGCTTGACCAGCATCAGCTGGTCCAGTTTGCTGAAGAGGCTGACGGCCCGGGTGTGGTCCATCCGTGGGATGAGCACGGTCAGCAGGTCATTCAGCATCATGGGCTTGTAATCCAGGTAGAATTGAATGCTCTTGTAGTACAGCTCTATGTTGGCAACCTGGGGGGAAAATCAAGAGATGATACATTTCAGCTTTGAACAAAGAAGAAAATCAGAAAACTTGTGTAGATATCTTGACTTGCGGTTCTAAGAACTGGAGAGTGTCTGTTTTGTCTAGAGAGGAAGATGAACCAAAGCTGAACATTTTGAAGTAAATCTATTATTTCTGTCAAAGGAGCCTCAAGCTTTGGTATATTAGGCCCAAAAAAATAATAGTTCTGCTTCCGGTTTCCCTACCTACCCTATTCTGACAGCCCCTAACCTAATTTTTTTATTGGAAAAATGAGGGAAAAAACACCCAAAACCATCAATTTCTACCTTTTACCCTTGACTACACGCAGACGCCTCCATATGATTGTACACAAAAAAATTTGGCAAAAAAAATTAATTTCCCTACCTACATACCCTATTTTCGAATGCCATGTAATCGGAAGCAGAAATATTTTTTTTTTTTGCCTTAACCTTTGGACTTGGAGAGGATTCATCCAGTATGGACATCTCCTTAATTCAGCCACTAGCCCCACCCACATTGTGGTGGTTTGTGTACATTTCTCACAGTGTTATGACCAAGTCTGACAGAACTATGTCACCAAAAGTCCTGATCTAAATTGCTCAATGCACAATGTCTTATGCGACAGGCAGGAGAGGCCCACTGGAGAGAAAAAAAACCCCAGGGTTTTGCAGATTTCCTGGCTTATTGCACTTGCAGATGTTCAGAGAGATTTGAAGATTTGCTCAGCAGATGAAGGACCAAATGTAAAAATTGACGTAAATTTATTGCTTTCAACATGTTGTTTTTTGTAGAGGACAACATTTTTGAGCTGCTAAGCACCCAACTTTGCTGATCAAAAAAGTTAGCTTAGCAATATATTGTAGCCTAATGATGTTAAAGGGGCCATGCAATGAATTTTCTTAGTAACATATGCTGTGCAATTTCTCCTCTTAAATGTATGAAAACTATTTGACATCCCGTTTTGGTTAATTTTATTGGAAAGTGCACTTCTTTAAAACTTCAAAAATGTTCATTCCGGACAACTGAGGGCGCTGTTGCTGTGATGTCATTTCAGGAAGACACGGTTCAGCTTAGGGGGGTTTGTGATCAAGCTGTGAACCCAAAAATGTGCTCATTGAGAAAAGGCTGCTCATTGGCCTAATGCCACGTACCGACACAACAACGAATTATAAAGTCCTTATTGAAAAGTAAAAGCAAAGTCTGTCGCGAGCCAATGTGGCTCATCAGGCCGGCGTTTATCTCCGGTTTCAGTAGCATGAAACGACTGAGAATATTTCTACTCCCCCTGGATGGGATGCTAGTCCATCGCAGGTTACTCCCCAGCTAATGCCGGTACCCAAGCTAATGCCGGTACCCATTTATACTCCTGGGTGGAGAGGGGCAAGTGGGGTGAAGTGCCTTGCCCAAGGACACAATATATGACCAGCGGCTGGATTTGAACCCCGGACCCTCTGATCATGAGTCACAAACCCTAACCACTAGGCCACACACTCCCCCTATTGAAATGTTGTACAATTACCAGTGATTGCAAATGTATATTGTGGAAATGGTCCAGATAACCTGTTTTACATTTAGCTGGACTTTCAAGTGCAAATAGATGAGAATATATTCCACACATTGCAGTTTCTCATACCTTAGTGACGATGTCCTTGAATTGAGCCTCCTTCCAGGCATCAGTGGGGTGAGCCATCATGGTGACTACGGCGTTGTCATACTCCTCATACTTATCATACAGGAACACTAACTCCGCCCACAGGTGGGCGTGCTCAGCTGCCCTCAACACCTGCAGGGATGAATAAATGAAAACAATTTCAGTTACTTTACGTATGTTCCCAAGAGCAGATGATAGTCAAGAGCATCTTATGGATTTCTTGCAAAACTACACCTCGGTTGTAAAACATTCCAAACTGGAGCAAATCTTGATGGATACTTGAGGTCGCCATGTAGTTATTGCAGAACCAAGGCTATGCTCATTATAATTATGTTTAAAATTTCACAGCTGGCTGAGTGAAAAAAACTAAATCGGCATACATGCACGATGGCTTTACCAGCATCCTGGTCAAAATCGGCTGATCCAGAACTACCTTTTCGATCTGAATTATAATCATTCTATTTTTGCAGAACGTAAGAGAACTTGCTGTTACAAAATACTGCCTGTTCAGGGTGGATGAGTAAGCAGTACAAGGGTCAGGTTACGCATTTCACAAAAAATAACAATTTTGAGAGCATAGCAATTGAACAACTCGATCATCTTGAAGAGGTTTCCCTTTCTCCGTGAAAGAGTTTGTTTTGACTACTGTTTGGAAAACCTTGGAGGCCATTTGGCCTTCTTTATGTGTGACATCCACAAATCAAATTTAATCTTCTGAAGGTGGCTGATCTTTCTATTTCAAAATGTTCAACACAAAGGACAAAGCTTTCTTCGTACCTTTGGAATGTTGACTCTGGACCAGAAGAGCTCCAGATGTTCCCGCATCTTGGAGGGTTTGTACTTGGAGTACAGGATGGCCAGCTCGGTGAACATGCCCATGTGAGCACGCTCCAGACCTGTCAATGTAAATATGAAATGTGAATATGAAATCATAAATACCTGTTTAATATAAGTTTATGCATTCCTTTTGGTCGGGAGCCCGTCAACACCGCTGCGTTCTGCGCCACATCTCGCAGGGCGCGCGCGCGCCAATTTCCAAATAAGGAGATTTTTAGCACTATGTTCGTAAGGCACATACCATAGATATGGTTTCACAAAACCTGAAGTAAAATTGTTGAACAAAATCGTTGGAAATTTGAGAATTTCTGACTTGTTTTCACATTTGACCGCAAGGTGTTTATGATTGGGAATAAATATGGGTTTGGCCGGTATTACACAAGTACGTTTAAAATTGGCTGGGGGCCTGGTCACAGATAATGACCCTCCTATTTGGCTCGGGCCATTACCCACGTCCAGACCCCTAGCCAGTTTTAAACGTACTTGTTTAAAGCCGGCCAAGCACATATTTATTCCCTTAATAATCATCAGTAATTTCATTGATACAAAAAAAAAAAATCAGCAAGTAGGTAGAAACCTTTATTCACTTTTACACTAATTCGCTCCACTAATTAAAAAGGAAACTGGCTGATGAGTCATGAAAGGGGCCTCACTTGATTAGCTTTTATGTTGGAAATTCATTTGTTAAATTTAAAAAAAAAAAGGCTCCTTGAAAGTTTTAGTCCCAAAAATGTTCCACTCATTTCCTGCACAGTGGTGAATTTTGAAGTATTCAGGAATGTTTTGTTTAATACCAACGATGAGGGATAGGCAGGGGTGTGAGTGACCTCTGACAAAAATAGCTGAAAATAGCTGAAAACAGCTGAAAAAGGTGTAAAAAAAAAAGCTGAACTTTGGAAATCTCCTATACTTTGGTACACAGAAAGTGAGGGAAAAAAGCTGAAATTCAAAACAAAAAAAGCTGAAATCAGCTATAAAGCTGAGATTTCACACCCCTGGGGATAGGGTTCATGATTACCTAGAGCAGCTTCCAAGAGCTGGATGAGCTCCTCAAAGTAGCCCCGGTCCTGGTAGTAGTTGATGAGTTCCTCCAGCTCATCAGCATGGACCACGATGTGAAGACCGCACATCTGGGCCAGACGGAACTCCTCCCCATCCACACAGGAGAAACAGACCTGGGAGGGTGCAGGCAAATTGACAAATTTTAGAGAATGTTTAGTATTTTTAATAGATTATCCCTAACCCCCTAAGCCCTCTGGCTAGGATGCAACCTCAATCCTACAAAATCCTCCAATTGCCACCAAGAAACAAAATTGGATTCAGCCTCAATCCTCCAAAATCATCCGTTATTTCTTGAATTTAGTCTGAGGAGGGTGACCACTGCCTCAATCTTCCAAAATCCTCTGCCAATTACTGCTATGGTTTGAGGCAGTGGGAATGGCGTTTAGAAGCAGTGCGGATGAAATACGAGAAAAACACAGGGCTGATTTATGCATGGCTGAACATAACCAATGCAGGATATGGCCTACTGGCTTGACATAATGCATCCTCCACAAAAAAGCGATACATCTTTGCCATTCATCCTCAATCCTCTCAAATTCATCCAAAACCGGCAGGAGGATTTTGAAGGATTGAGGGGGGGTTAGGTTAAAGGTAAATTTTCCTTATTTTCAAAAAGGAAGTCAATAAAAGTGGAAATTGAGATTCCAACTCAAATTTCTCTTCATTGCTACGGACTTTTCATTGACCATGGGCAGCTTCCTTCACAATGAGATTGCAACGGCTACTGTATGTTGATATAAAACAAACTACAAGGAACACAAATAGAAGCAAACACTACGCCTAAAGATAGCATGTGACTGCACTGTCCCTGGTTTTTACATGTCCAAATGTTCCGTAGACATCTAGATTTACTTCAAAGAGTGCTCTTCATGAACGATCTAAAAAATAGCACCACTTTGCCAGACTAAAGTTGCCTGCTTGTTGATCTTATTAACAAATTATAAACGGTTCGACCTCATGCAAATATTGTTTCACTGCGGCAATTACTATTGTCTTAATAATACTTCTACGTTGATAATTGACAGCGCGTCTGATTAGCTTCCTTTAAACTTCACTCAGTTTTACTGTGACCACTTTTTTTTTTTATGCACTTTTGCCACAACACAATTCCGTGTAGTACACTAACAAAATCAAATTGAGATAGAAACCAAAAAAATTGAAGAAATATCCTTCTCCAAAACAAACGAGATTAATTTGAAACAACAGTCGATTGTTTTTCATTTCAAACATTAGCCAGTCACTGATGTCTATCTGTTATTAACCCTAACCCCCTAGGCCCTTGTTGCTTACAACCATCCTCAATCCTCCAAAATCCTCCAAAATTTTTCAACTCTGCCTAAATTTTTCAAAATTGTCAGACAGTCCTGCCTCAAAATGCATTCATCCTCAATCCTCCAAAATCCTCCTCATCCCAAAACTTTGCACTCGTGTTTAAATGAAGGATAACCAACGCCAAATCCTTCAAAATCATCAAGACAGTCCTGCCTCAAAATGCATTCATCCTCAATCCTCCAGAATCCTCATTTGATTCAATCACCATTCATCCTCAATCCTCGAGAATCCTCCAAAACCGCCAGGAGGGTTTTGGAGGAGTGAGGTGGGTTAGGGTTAAGCATTTACATACCTCCTTCCATGTTCGTGTGCTGTTGGCCTTCCTAGCGCTGTCCACGGCATTCTGGTACTCGCCCAGGTGCACCAGGGTGGAGGCCAGACGGGCAAAGTTGGAGACGTTGTTGTAGAGCAGCTTGGCGGCCTCATACATGCCCTCGTTATAGCACCGATCGCCCACCTAGGCAAAACAGGACCAGAAAACAGGCATTATTCCACACCAGCAAGTACTTCCTGATAAATATTTTTCCAGTTTTTAATCCACCACACATAGCCTGTTCTGACTTGTTGAACGTCACATATCTCAGATTGGATAGCAACGGAACAAAAGTATGATAATTTTCATTTCAGTTGGAGATCAACTGAGGAGGAGAGTGGGAGTGGAGGGGATCGGCATCGTATTGAGGAGGCACAGGCTGAGGTGGTTTGGTCATGTGGAGAGAAAGGAGGATGTCAACTGGGTCAAGAGGTGTACCAACGTAATTGTGGGTGGGCCCACACCCGTCGGCCAACCGCGCAAGACTTGGCAGAGCTCCGTGTCAGATGACATGCGACTGCTTGGAGTCAATGCGAGGGATGCGACGGACAGGGCCAAGTGGAGGAGAGCCATAGGGAGAAAGCAGGCCAACCAAGAACAGACTGGACAACGGCCTTAAAACCGACATGATCAACCCAAAAAGAAGAATATCTTGTGTGATGAACTTTGACATTGGGAGCTGTTAATCTTTCACAAACTGTCAATTGTGGTGTAAGCTGCAATCTAAGATTTGGTACAGTCGGCCAGAACCGATACCTAGTACACTAGCAAATAGCGTAAGCAAATAGAGATTTTAAGCTACAATACCCATGTGATATATAATACTGCCAACAAATTTTCTGCTTATTTTTGCCTAGCCTGCAAATTTGCTGACCAATTTTCTCTATGATCTGCAAAGTCTTTACCTGTTGGATCTGGGCGTGGTTGGGTCCTGAGATGAACTCCTCCAGGTCAGCCAGGCGGTTTGTCTTGGCAAAGGCAAAGATGAGCTCCGTCTCCACGAAGGAATCCCTGGCCTTCTTGCGAGCCATCTGCAGGTAGCGCACCAGGTCCTCCCAGTTGCCTGAGAAGGGGTTAGAAATCACATCATTCTCAGATCAACCAAAATGCTATTAGTCCTAAGAGATAACAGACCTAAGAAATAACGGACAAGCGTCCCAACCTAGCCTCTGATGAAGGGTATGCGGACAAGACGTCTAGTTATCCTTTACTTGGCTTGAACAGTATGCACATGTGTAAACAAAGCATGCTGTCATGATGTCTCGGGGCTGTCGTTCAGATTGTAAGATAAAATGCAATCAGTACAAGAGATCACTGCACAATGATGGTATTTAACTCTGTTGCACTCTGAAGATGGGTATCCTGTTGTACGAGCTGACAGTTCCTACCGAATTTAAACGATCTCAAAAATTTCTGCTGGAGACCCTCAACTTATGTTTTGGTAAGAGGCTTTCTGGAAACTCATACTCATTTCTGTATTACACAGAAGTAACAGCATGAACAAGGTATTAACAAAGTTTATATTTTTTTTTGACTTGTCAGCAGAAAGCGTGGACAATGAGAATAAAATTACCAAGGTTTCTTTCCGAGAGCTCAAAGCAAACAGACCCAACTCGTCTGAACTGCTCAGAAAATACTAACATGGGCCCCATATCAAAGCAACCATGAGTTTTTCTGCCAAATTCAGGTCCGAGTTTTAGAAGCCAATGCCCTTACCTGATGCAGAGGCAGCATCTACGACCTCAGTGTACGTGGAGGGGTCGTCGGCCTTGATGTAAGAGTCGATAGCCTCCTTCACCAGTCCACCTTTCATCTGGGCCATAGCCAGCTGGCTCCAGACCGAGGGCTCGTTGCAGCGCTCGGCAAACTCGTAGGCGCGGTCCAGGTTACATATATGCTCGATCAAGACCTAAGCACATTTTTAAGACAAAAGGAACAAAAATCAATCCAGCATCTATTTTTTTTTTTTTCAGAAGAGTGTTGCTTGTACCTCATGAAACACACAATTGATTCCTGGAAACAATATAGTTTCGGGGAATATCCCTTCAGTGTGAAGAAGTTTTATGGAGTTTTACAAAGTAACTTCAGGGCGTAACCTCAAGTTACTGTTTGTTACATCTGCATTCTTCCCTTACTGCATCCTGGCTTTTTTATAACATACACAAGACCATCTGAATCGAATAAAACAGTAGCTCCGAAAAAGGCACTATCCAATAAAAAAGCGGACACTTTTTGGTAAACTAATATCTACACATAATTTCGAAAGGTTCTCAGACCAACTCAGTTGAGAATAATGAAAACGACTTTAGTATTCAGATAACTTTTACACATTCTAAACAAAAGAAAACAACTGTTTCCAAAACATATAACTCCCACAAATATCAACCCCAACAACCTACAAAACTAGGTTGTTTATTTGTAGATTGTAGTTTTGTAGTTTTGTACAGCGCTTTGATCTTTGTTAAAAGCGCTTTATAAATGCTCCATTTATTATTATTCCATTTATTATAAAACTACCCTCTTGTTTACCAAACTTTTTCTGAATATATAAACCAAACAAGGGACAACTCTTCCAAGTCTGACTGACCTGGATGGCAGAAGTGTTGACGTCAAACTTCTTGAAGATGGCAAAGGCTTCCTCGTACAGCTCGCTGCCGATGGCGATGTTGGCGATGTCGGGAGCGTCGTAGTTATCCAGACGGTTGATGTACTCCATGACGCGGCTCCTGTCGGCTTTGATGGCAGTCAAGATGAGCAGATTCTGAAGGTTTCTGTTGGACAATTGGAGACAAACAATTGCGTTTAATCGTTGCTTGTAGTGTAAGTTCACTCTGCAGTTGAAGTGAACTGGGGATGCCAAGGCAGATTACCATGTACTAGAAATAAATTGATTTTCAAAATGATTACATGAGAAAAAGCTCGGACTTTCTCGGTTGCTCACTCCTGTATTGTAATGTCCATTCAGTAAACAATGGGTATCTTAACTCAATTCTGAAGTGTTTCGAGAGTCAGGTATTGCAAGAGTCTTGTTAGTGTTTATTTAGAATTTTTCTTTAATTTAATATAACCCTAACCCTGCTGAATCCAACAGGATCCAACTATATCATAAACCTGTTTGAGTCTGTTGGATTGAGCAGTAAACCCCTTGTACAAACGTACATGTACATATTCAGAGTCGGATTCTGTTGGGTACTGGCAAATGACGCCAAGTTTGACTCTGTTGGATCTAGCAGACAACTAAAATTAGGCGCAGTTGGATTCTGTTGGATTGAGCAGGAAGTAACCGTTGCACCCTGTTGGATTTAGCAGGGTAGTCCTGAGGAACCCTTAGGGGGCTAGGGCACTCAATGGACAAAAAAATCCTGTGCTATTCTGATTATCCATGAAAAAAATCATCAACTTATATTTTCAAGTAAGCCCACTTTTACATAAGCGTGAAAAAAATGTGCTTCTTCTAAACAAGCACTACAGCACCACTTTGTTTCACTGAGAAGGAGTTGGGAAATTCATGCTTTTACTGAAATACATACATACTCATGGCGCTTACCTATGATCGCTGAATACTGAATTTTCTAGCACTATCTTCTCCAGTAATTCAATAAGTTCATTGGGTAGGTCGGCAGTCATGAAGGCCTTGACTGTCACTGAGATGTCCTCAGCATCTTGGGTCTCTGTCAGAGCTGTCTGCACAATCTGTGTCATGAATAATTCAAAGTTACGTGAATAATTCATCACAAAATTAATAATTTATGAGATCTCAATCAATGAGTTCAATGGGCAGGTCGGCTGTCACAAACGCCTTAACTGTCACTGAGATGTCCTCAGCATCTTGGGTCTCTGTTAGAGCTGTCTGCATGATCTGTGTCGTTAATAATTCATTAATAATTCATTACGAAATGAATTATTCATGAGATCTCAATCAATCAGTTCAGTTTGTGAAAATGACATGTCCACTCACCAGAAACCTCTTTCGGAAATGAGGCAAGAGGTACTGAAATATTGGAAGCGGGGTTCCCAAAGAAATCTTAAAATGAAATTCCACGACTTTTCCACGACTTTCCAAAATAACTTCAAATTCCAGGATTTTTCAGGATTTGCCCATGACTGTGGGAACCATGACTGTGGAAGTCATTTCGTTTGTCCACAGCAACTTTGAAGACGTAACTACAAGAAAATACTGCCCAATTGTGTGACGCCGGTGGTCAACCGCAACGACCCAAGGATCACGCCCCACGCTTTTTACCTGGTCAATCAGCTGCCTGCGGAAAGGGTTGGTCTCCTGCAGCACCTCGGCCCACAGCTCCTGGTCCCGGCGCTTGACCAGGTAGCGCGACTCGCTCTTGAAGAGGGAGTTCTCGTTGCAGACGTTGATGAGCTCCCGGTCACACTGGCCGCGCTCGTAGGCCACGCAGGCCAGGTGGGGGTCCCGCTTCTCACAGTACTTGCCCACCACGCGGCTGTCGTAGTGCTGATTCTCCCTGTGGGTCGGATCAGTTGTTTCACATTTCATTACATTTTGTGAGTTTTGGGAGGGTTTTTTTTTTTTTTTTTGGTCTTTGCTTTTTTGGTGTTCAGTATTGTATTTGTCAATTTCAAGGGAGGGGTGTAGGGAGGCTATTACATGGCAGTCCTGAATTTCTTTCAACAACATAAGGTGGTGTGGATGGGTAATTATTTTTTGTTGGACATAAGGTAGATATCTTGAAACATTCTTTCCCTTCACGGCTGTAAATTTTTAATTCTATTAACAATAACCATTTACTTTTTACCACTTAAAGAGGTTGTGGAATGCTCGAAAACATTTCCGTCATTTTTTGGGTATATGTAGCCTAAGGTGTGATGAAATAAAAACGACTATTGTTTCTGTCATGAACTGAGTACAAAAAGTACTTTTGAGAGCTATTTTTCAGGTCCTGTTTCGACCCGAACGTGCAATTTGTGTAAACGTTGATATGCTACTCTGCATCGGGAGTCCTGTTTATTACGTCACGATTTACTGTGTTTTGTTTGCTGCCCGCAACAACGACTTTTACACAAATTGCACGTTCTGGTCGAAACAGGCATGACAGGACTTGAAAAACAGCTCTCAAAAGTACCTTTTGTACTCATTTTATGACAGAAACAATAGTCGTTTTTATTTCATCACACCTTAGGCTACATATACCCAAAAGATGACGGAAATGTCTTCGAGCATTCCACAACCTCTTTAATATCTTTGATACCCCACAACACAACGCAATGTCTAAGACAGTGCATATTAGTGACACTTTTCAATACTTCAGTGCATAAGAGCTCTTATGCTGTGTAGGGCTGTGCATCGGAACCGGGTACCCGAGTACCCGACCGCTGATATTAGGAACCGGATCTAATATCTTTTTCCAAGTCAAACCCTTTAATGAGTTCCAGATAATTGGATGGGGGACCCATAATAATCTTCACATATTACTCAGTAGCTTCTCAGACAATGAAAAAGGAAGGTTTTGAATGTCATTTATAGGGAATTCTCAAAATCAACACGAGGCTACATGGCAAAACAAAACAGATTCACGTTTATGACGCTTGCGAAAATGCAATTGACACCATAAAGCTAAAGAGCTCACTGTACACAGTTTTGTTTTTTCTGTTTTGACGCACTGATATGGTAGTATCGTGCGGACTTTTAAGAACAATGTGAACAGTGACTTCCGAGATTTCTGTAACGGGTATCTGGGTACCCTTGTTTCTTTCAAACAGGTACCTGATTCCCATTCTGTAAATTCACACCCCTAATCCTTTGAAGTGTCAGAAAGAATTGTCGTGAATAACCTCAAGAAAGGAGAAGGGATTTTTTTCCCCAACCTTTATGAGTTCCTGATGAGACATCAAATACAAGGCAGTTTTACAGCCTTACAATGAGCAATATATTTACAGGGCTTACCGTAGGAATCTCTCAGGATTATTGTTGCTGTCTATGTAGATCTTGGCCAGTGCGTTGTGGGTGGCAGGTTCCACGCTGCCCTCGTGAATGCGCGTCTCAAGCCAGGGTAGAAGCAGTTTCAATCTAGACAGAAAAACCCCAAAATATACGGTTTGTCAGAATCAGTCACAGAAAAAAGGCAGGAGATAATGCTTTCAAGCATAAGCATTGGGAGTGTTGCGTGATGTACTTAGGCAATTCCACGCGGAAATGGACAAAGCTGAAATCCTCACCTATTACGTTTCTCCACCTCTTCCACGAGTTCGTCGGTAGAGAACTGTCCTCGTACAACCATGATGAGGCTCTTGATGACATCCTCAGAGCAGTCCACGTCCAGGAGACCACCAATGACGACGGGCAGACGGGACGGGTTCACCTGGGAGGGAATTAAGTTATCTACGGTCATTGCAAGTCATCACAGTTAATCAAATGTCATCACAAGTCTATACAAGTCATCGTAAGTCACACGGACTCCTTGCACAAGTACCCCCTCAGCGGTTACAAAGGGAGAGTTGGGGGAGACCACTGGGCGGGACATTTGAACACCTTGCTGACGACGCCTGATGCGAATAAATAACTGATGTAGACACAGAAAAAAATAAGCAATACATACTTCAAGCCGTTTGCACATGAATCAGTATGCGCATGGGGTGTCCATGGTGAAATTGAGGGACGGGCAATACTAGTGATCAATTTTTAAAGTTTTGGCAAGGTGCGTGTGCACCTTCTGGAACTTGTGGCCAATCTCACCTTTTGCACGTAGATCTCAATGTACTTCTGCAGGTTGTTGCGGTACAGGTACAGCACGAGGTCGTGGACGAAGTCAAAGCGGTCGCAGACGATGATGAGGGGCAGCTGGTCCGTCAGCTTGGCCTCCTTCAGGAAGTTCTTGACCCGGTCGGCGTCGTAGCAGTTGCTCTCACGACAGATGCGCTCCACCTCCTTGATCTGGCCGGTCTTGCAAGCAGCCTGGTACAAGGAATGTTCACGATACAATTATTATCTCTTTCTGGTAAGGGATTCCTCAAAAGCAAGAATGGCACTGCAGCTGAGGACTTGAAAAATTGTTCAGTTTAGAGGTGGGAGGAAATCCCAAAAAAATATTCCACGGAACCCTCATTATCGGGCAGGGACTGAAACCTCAATACACATGTCAGATTTGGTTGGATTTGAGTATTGGTCACACAAGTGGGAGTCACACAAGTGGGAGTCAGGCTGGCGTAGCGGTACTTTCCTTGCCTTTTACCGCTGTGGCCCAGGTTCGATTCCTGCCAGGGCCATTTTTTTTTATGTGGATTGGGTTTTCAGTCCCTACCTCATTCCATGGGTTTTCCTTAGAATATTCTTCTGGAGTTTTCCTCCATCTAAAACTTTAATTTCTTCACATTGTCATCTCTTTACTGGGCCCCATGGGAGACCAGTGGATCCCACTGAATGGGCTACCCAGTTAAAATAAGAATTAAAGAAATAAGAATTAAATAAAGTGGAATGCAAAAACCCAGTACCACTGCAAAAACCTGACTATCCAGACCCTTCTGCAAGAACGAACTATCCACAGTAGGACAATTTTTATATCAAAGAGTTTGGATTTATGTAAACCATCCATTAGCGGAATACGAGAGCAGCTAGTACCAGCAAATTTCATAAACGTGGGCACAAATTGGAAAACCAGTACTGGTATTCAAACGTGACAATACAAATCAATTGAACCTAACTCCCTACTTAGTTTTACAAAGTAGAAGACCATGTCCATCAAAATCCATAAGCTCACTCTGCTTAACATAATGCTTCAGGACCAAATCCGTTGAAATCCACCACTGGTGCTGGTGGATTTTGTTGGACTGTGTACACATGGCTTATCTGACAAAATCCCCCAAAATGGCGGGATGGACTTTTATGGAGTTGGTACAGTTAGGGCTTAAGTTCTTAACACCATGGACTAAACTTTCTCTGGAAACCCTTGTGAGATCGGAAGTTGAAATGTTGGTGTGTTTACGAAACAATGCCCCACTAGACAAGGAGCATCATTTGTCTGACACACCTGTGGATTTTGCTCTTGGAGACATCTGAATTGTGGTACTGTTATCAACATATGCAGCACCTAATACAAACACCTCCAACTTTCCCAATATTAAGACTACCATTCAGAGATTTCATAAATCACAGTTCCAATCTTTCACCTTTAAAAAAAGGTAAAATGTTAGGTTGGGCATACATAGATTTCACACAAAGAGTGTACCAAGATCATAGCCAGAAGCGGGATTCGAACCCACTAACTGTACGAAACAGAACCCGTGCTCTACCAATCCATCCCAATGTTTGCAGTCTGCCAATAAAACACCAGTTTTTCTTTTGGGTCGACCCAGCAATATGTAGTGACAGTCTGCAAGCTAAATATAAAATATCACATTGTACATTCACAGCAAAATCTCATATCGTTAATACACTTTTCATTTGTTTTTCTACTGTAAGTGCATTCATAATACAATGTGACAGTTCAAAATTGATTGAATTTCATCCTCTGCGGAAACACTGAGATTGCATGTTCAAATCCTGCTTATTTGCATGTTCTTTGTTATCTCTCTCACTCTCTCACAAAAACACAAAGATTTCTCTGTTTGAAAACTGAAGAAAAATTCAATTGTGACTTACCTGGATGTACTTGAAGTGGACGTCAGCGTCCTGACTGAAGTTAACGATGGAGCCCAGGAAGTAGAACAGACCTTCGTAGCTCTTGAAGGACTCGAAGATGTCAATCAGGGAGTTGGTGGAGAGCTGCTCGTGGTACTTGGTGGCCACCTGCACGCAGATCTGCAGGTTCTGGCGGATGTTGGCCGACAGCATGCCCTTGAGACATTCCAGGGAGTCCTCCACGGACAGGGAGCCAAAGTAGTTGACCAGCCACTGTGTGCGACCAAGGCAGAGGGTCCAAGTCAGTATTCACATTAACGTTAACCTTCATACAACCCAGATTTTTGCAATATGTGCAAAAATCTTAAGTCGTACCTCAATTTTGTTATTTTTTTTAATTCCCCAAGAAAAGGACATTTTCACACAAATTGTCCAAAATTAACTCACCTCAGGGTTCAACATGTGAGTGTTGACCACTGCCCTCTTGATGTCATACAGGTCTGTGTAGTGCTCAAGAGCCTGTAAGAAAATTGTTGAGGGAAAATAATAAGGTTTTTATCATCTTTCTTCTGCAAGACCTTACAATCACGTTAGTCACTGACAAGCCAGCAAGCAAAATTATGAAACATTTTCCAAATCTAGCGAGTTATTTCAGGAAATTAACAGGTTAAGAAAACCTCAATTGTTTCTATTTTTTAACAAGATCAATTGAGCCAACTAACAACACTTAAGCAAATGATGACCCCAAAAAAGAATTAGCTTGAAGACAATTCTAAAGATTTTAAAATACTGTAAAGCAATTAAAATCTACAAATATTCCTGAACTCTTTTCTATTCCAAGCCAAATTTCACGGAGCTGCCAACCTAAGAACTGCACTAAGCACGGAAAACATTTTCTTCATACAAACAACAGGTTAGCAGCTCAAATGCCAACAGGGCCCAATTTCACGGCGCTGATAAGCACAAAAATTTGCTTAGCACAAAAAAGTCTGGCTTAGTAAATGCAGGTTACCAGCCAAAACTCCATGTGATTTTCATGCTGAGCAAACAACAGCTGAATACCAATCACGAGCAATATACATCACATGGAAATTTGGTTAGTAGTCCTGTTTTTGCTAAAGAAGACTTTTCATACTAAGCAGTTTTTGTGTGCTTAGCAGCTCCATGAAATTGGCCCCTGGTGTTCTACTGAATTTATGTTCAGCAGATAAATTTATTAAGCACCATTTCCTGCTTAGCAGCTCAAAAAAAGTTTTGGCCTTGAGTCCAATTTCATGAGAAACTGCTGAGAAGTGAAAATAACTCCGCAACGTTAAAAACTAAGCAAACCAAAATCCCGCTTCTGCTATGCAAAATATTTGTGCTTGCCAGGAAAAAATATCACTCACCCTCTGAAGCAGACCAGCCTTTTCACACAGGGAGGCGATGTGGGCCCGGTCGTAGTGGGTGAACATCTGGTTGCCCAGGATGGCGTCAGCCACCTGAGGGGCAGACATGAGGTTCATCTCCAGCAGGCGGGTCTGCAGGTGTCCCTCCGAGGGACGGTTGTTCTTGAGGGCATCCAGGAGGAAGGAGGTGCACTGCTGCACCATGTTCTGCTCCATGAAGACGTCCACGATCTGCAGGAGGGAGAAACAAGTTAACAGTTACATTGGTAATCCAATGGCTGCAGGTTTCGGAGAAATAGGTTACTAATTACATCGACAGTTTAAACTAAAAAGGTTATGCAGGAATATACTTTGCGCGAATGAAAATTCTAGCCACATCAATTGACAAATATTCTTCTAAATTTACCTTCTCATGACAAAAGGGTGGGGATAGATTTGTTATCTACCCTTTCGGCCATCTTATGATTTTAATCAGATTTTACTAAAAACTTATGCCAAGTACATTCGCAAAGTTTCAAGCCAACTGGGCCAAGAATTGTGTTATCACTGCTTTCTTTATGCACAGTCAATGAAAAGGTAACACATTAAATGACAGTATTAGAAAAATTGACATTTGGTGAGAATGAAATGTCCCCATTTATAAAACGGAAGTCAAAACGAGAGCAAGACAGTTGAAAACCTCATTAAGCCCTGCAATGAATAGAAACGTGATGGCAGTGATGCTGTATATACAAATCTATGAAGGTGGATTCTACCGTCAAAAGGCTCAGAAATATTAACAGATGTCTAAAAACCAGCTATGCCAGCCTTGTTTCTGATTTTTTTGGTATGCATATTGCCACCCAAGAAAGTTTCTCTCAAAAAGAATCTGAAAATGTGGTCGATTTCAGATGATTGAAAGTACAAGAACATTTACTTAAGTGTCTTGAGTCACGAGGGATAGGAAGTGTACGCAAATACCAAAACGTTGGCCAAGTAAGGATTTTCAGAAACATGAATACAAGTATAAGGGACAGTCAGTAAGGGCAATCAAAGACAGTGAGCAGGGGGAGGGGATGTTGCTTACCTGGTTGATGTCTGCCAGTGGTTCCTCATCCTGTACCAGCATCTGAGCGAAGCCTGACCCTTGCTCCGGGTTGATGCGCATCACGTTACGCAGCAGGAAGATGTAGTCTGGGGTGTAGCCCACCTTCTTGGCGTACAGGACAATCTTGCTGAACTGGCCCGTCTCGGCAAAGCACTGGATCACCTGGGAAACAAAAAACGTTCAAGCATATATGATTAGAAACATTTCAGAAGAGACTTAACAAAGCTTGGTTTTGAGTTTCTTTGTGAATACACTTAGGGACCCTGTCTTATGGTATCTGTAAGGCTATTCCAGAATTTGATGCCGCGTTGTAATTGTCGATTTTTATGCAAAGTTGTTTAATTATGGATTTGAGATGAACTTCTCGTTGAATATGAGTGTACATCAGCAGAAAATGAATGTATGAACGGATACAGGTAGGCATCAGGCCATTCATAAGTTGATACATAAATTTTCCCAGATTTATATTGTGGATATCTTCCAATTCTAATAGCTTTTAGTGAATAAAGGAGCTGCGTGGTCAAGATAACCAGCTTTTGAAATAATAGGAACAATTCTCTTTTGCAAGAGGACCATTTTACTACTTTGTGAAACTGAACAGCCCCAAACTATCGCTGAGTAGTTAAAATAAGGAAGTATAAACGAGTTATACAATGTTAATAAAGTATCAGTTGGAATAAAATACTTTAATCGATTAATAATTCCAATGTTTCTTGAAAGTTTGGTAGCTACATAATTTCTATGATTTGTCCATTTTAAATGAATATCAATATGAACTCCTAAGAAATTAGTATTTGATACTTTATCAATGACAGTGCCACTGAGGATCTAGGTTTTCCAGTACTAACTTGGTCACGGTCTCGGACTATCCGGTCTCGACGACAACACTGATTATTACAGATAAAGCTAGTGGTGGGGTCATGGGTGCATTCAAGCATGTGTGCTGACTCTAGCTGTTAAATATCTCTTTTATAATTTCAGCTGTAAGCCAGCCAAATACACAGGTTAAAGTGAGCTTACCGGTAGTTCAAGCGTTTTGGTCTTACCTTGTTTGGCACATTAGCTCTCAGGTAGACAGACAAGGCCAGGGTGGGGTCATGGGCCTTCACTAGATCGCCTAGCTCTTCACTACACTCAAGCTGTTGAAGATACGACAAAAGTTGTTAAGTTAACACTAACCGTCCTGAATCCTTCAAAATCCTCTTTGCCAAAGTGGAGGAATTTGGCGGATTGAGGTTACATGACAAAAAATGCGTTACTGCTTTCGTAGGATGCACATTGTCAAGGTCTTGGGCCAGACCTTGTGTTATTTTTGCTCAGCCATGCATAAATATAGGCCTGGATTATGCTTGAAATCCTCCGTACTGCTCCAGGATGTCACTGGCCAAGCCTCAACATATTGACAGTCACTGCCGCAGGATTTTGCAGGATTCAGGCAGTGGTCACCCCTCCATGGACCATATTCAAGAAAAAATGGAGGAATTTGCAGGATTGAGGCTATATATATGCTATTTTTTTATGAGGCCAATTGGAGGATTTTGCAGAATTGAGGCTACATCCTAGCAAAAAGGCCCAGGGACTTGCTTCAACTTTATGCGTTTTGTGTTTTAAAAAACGATTTACTCAGGAAATCGGCCTTGTGATGTACAACTGTCCAAGACCACTCAATCAAATGTACCTGCCCATCCTTCAACACCAAGTTTCCCCTGTCGCACCTCAGGTTAACACCCCCCCCCCCCCTCCCCATTCCCTCCTCAACTCCTTTATCCTCCCACCATACCTTATCCTCCTTGAGCCACTTCTCCAGCAGCTGCTTGCGTCCCTGCTGCAGCACGGGCCGGCACAGCTCCAGCGACTCGTACTTGTTGAGCTGCCCTTGGTCCAGCAGGATACCAAAGTACTGCAGTAGAGGGCTGGTGGCACCGGGCTGGGCGGGGACCTGCTGGAAGCGTTGAATGGTCTGGGGCGTCCGCAGGATGCCCTAGATTGAGAAGAGAAGAAAGGAAGAGATGAAAATGCAAATACACTCATCCTTTTTGAGGTCTGCACTCTATGGAAGGAAGGAATGGTGAACACTTCCGAGTCTGTGTAATAGGTCTCGTTCAAATGACGTCATTTCTAATAGACCATCCAAGTACATGAGCATTTTGAGAGACAACTTGCATAACGTGCATCGGCTGCGTCATATTTCGAACAGATTTCGAGCAACAAGCGCACGTGTTTGTAACATTTTTGACCCACTGCGCAATGTGTGCTTGATTGCGTAAAATACGGAGTTGCAGTTCTCCTGCAGAGATGGCCATCATTGAGCGAGCCCTATATTCTAACTTCTTTGTAAATATTGTTGGGTTTCTTTGCAGCTCCTCATTCCTATGTGGTTTGAGAACTTTTTCTCTTTGACCACTTGCACAGAACCCCCTCGCTGGTGACAGTTTTGCTGTTTAAATTCAGTGACAACGAAAGAACATTTGAATGCACTCATGCGTATATTGGGGAAACAAATACCTGTCTCCAACGAGGGCGCTCTATGCAATGGGTCTACTTGGGGGGGGGGGGATAAAACTGCTCATAGCATCAATTGCTTTCACCTGAAATTAATGTATCAAATTACAAATCTAAAATGTAGTTAACAACTAATAATATAACATTCTAATCTAACCAACACAACGAAGGGAAGATCAAAATAACATAAGAGATAATACTAAATAGTGAACCATAAACCCTAATCTTCCCGAACCCTCCAAAATTCTCTTTGCAAAAATGGAGGATTTGAAGGATTGAGGTTATATGGCAAAAATGTGTGGCAAATTTTGGAGGATGCACTGTGTCAAGGTCTTGGGCCAGACCTTGTGTTGTTTATGATCAGCCGTGTGTAAATTTAAGCCTAGATTATACTTGAAATCCTCCGCACTGCTCCAGGATGTCACTGGCTCTGCCTCAACATATTGACAGTGATTGCTGGAGGATTTTGCAGGATTGAGGCGGTGGTTACCCGTCCAAGTACCACATTAAAAAACAAAGGAGGATTTCGCAGGATTGAAACTGTATGCAATTTTTGCACGGAGGCAGTTGGAGGATTTTGCAGGATTGAGGTTGCATCCTTCCAAAAATACCTAGGGAGTTGGGGTTAACATTCAATAAAACATGATTTTTCACAAGTTGTTTTGTCCAAACTGTTTATGTCAGAAGAAAAGATATATGAATTCAAATGATATGCACAGCAATGTCTGGACAGTGGAAATGAGGGACTACCAACAAGATGACTGTTCTTCTTCATTTAGAATATTTGCAGGGGGGGGGGAATTACATCACTAACATGCAGACTGGCTGATCAATCTTTAAATACAAGTCATTTGTGTGTGTTTCCTGTGGCAGTGTTCCGATTGTCAGGGTACTGATTTTTTTCCCCCAAAAAGAGAACTCCCCAGAGACTTCTGCACATCTGCCCCTCGCAATGATCACTATATATACAGTGATGCACTGTGTGCCAACTGTGTTGCCATGGCTACAGACGAGCAACACCTGGACTGATGTTCCCTTTGGAACGGTGCCAGGACAGCAGCGCAGCAGACAGGCCAGGAATAATGTTGAATAAAATCACGATGCCAACTTGGTTTGCAGTTGATTGTGTGCAGACAATCATGTGACAAGTGACAATATATTGACTGGTTTCAGTTCGGTAGGTAGGCAGTTCCACCGTGTCGGACGTACATTTTGGTTAATTCACCAGTGTGCATAATTATAGTTCAGTTTTAAATTCTGATAAAAAAGATAAGATAGTTACTACAATGATTTAAAAAAAAATACTCATCCAACTTTTTTGCTGGAGTAGAAATTGGCTCAAAACACCATGGTGTCGGACGCACTCAGAGAAATTGTTTTTTTTGTGTACCCATTAATTCTTTTTTCAGTTAAAATAACAGCTAAATTCTTGAACATTGTTATAATTAAAGCACATTTAAATAATATACACAGAATAAGCTTCAAAATGATATACCTGTTTGATTTGTGGCATTTGGACCATTTTAAAATTCTGGCATTGAGGTTTACAATGCTGTGTAATTGTCCGTATCGCAAGTTCTGCAAGTTAAAGTTAAAGAGTAACCCTAACCTTCCCAATTCTTCCAAAATCCCTTAGCATAATGGAGGGTTTCAAAGGATTGAGGGCCTTTTGAAAATCAAAGCACTGGCGGATTTTGCAGGATTGAGGGCACAACAGGGTTTTGCCTCTGGAGGATAATGGAGAATCCAGGTTAGCACGCCCCAACTGAGGCTGGATGAAATTGGAGGATCGAGTCTCTGGCTGGTTTTGCCTCCCAAAAAAAGATTTTGGAGGATTTTTGGGCATGCATCCAGCATATACCACTGTTTATTGTGACTGATCTTCAAGTACTGACCACATGTGTTATGTGTATCAGTCTGTAAGGTGCAACAGAAATTTGCTCATCCTTCTATCCACTCTTTTAAACAAGCCCACTTGAATGATTTGAAGGGTGTTTGACTAGTTTTTCATTGTTTTCACTGACATATGGCCAGCGGACCAGGGTTACATGTAAACCCTTGTATCTTTTTATCGTGAAAGCAGAGGTGGGGTGTCCTTGACAAGGCCCGTACCTTGGGTGCATTGGCAGCCACCTTGGCCGACTCGGCATAGTTGCCCTGGGCAAACAGCGTGTTGAACTTGCGCACGAAGAGCTCCTCAGCGCCAGACAGGTTGTTACGCACGGCGATGCGCAGAGCCAGGTCCGGGTTCTGCAGGGTGTTGGTGATGTAGGTGACGATGTTCTCTTCATCAACACTGACTGACAGCACCTGAAGAACAGAATGAAATAGTAGAATAGTTTTTTCCTGCAAAGGCTTCTGCAAAACTATCTCAATATGATATCAATCACTTGGTGCTATCCAAGCTTCTTAAAAGGCTTATAACCAAAATGGCTTAATATCTTTTTATTAAACCACAAATATCAGAATATCTTTTATCAATTATATAAGTATCTTAAAATATCTAAAATATCTTAATATCTTCTCTTTTTTGGCCTCTGAAGATCTCAAGATCTAAACGTCAGGCCGTCTTAATTTTTTAAGATTTGTATATTTCAGGTAAATCCAGTCAGAAAGCAGTTTGAAGCAGTCTTATTAATTTTCAAAACATCTTAACTACTTTTGAAAAGATGCATTCCCAGTGTTAGGTCTCCCCCAACTCTCCTTTTCTGGCCGTTAAAGGAGTACTTGTGCATGGAGCCCATAGTGCCTTCAGCATCAACATTGGTGGATATGTGCAATTTATAAGCAAGCACATTATTATTAAATTCTAAACTACAAAAACGATCTTTTTTCCATCACTCCAGTTTTTGTGTCAGTTTCACTTCCTGGTATCAATGACCTCTGCTATCTGGGAGAGGAAAATGGATACATTCAGAGAGTGATTTCTTATTTAGAGTACGATACTTCCCTTTTAGCGAGTAAAATTAACTGGGGGAAAAACCACGGCATGCACAATTAAAGTGAAAGAAAGCTGCAATATTTCATACAAAGTATGTTCAACGACTGGAATATAAAAAATTCTGAAATACACTGAAATTATGTGCCGAGCTCACATTTTTCTAAGCTTAGTTCAAAAATTATATCCAAAAAAAATAGTCTTCTTGAGTTTTTTTTAATGACCTTGCAAAAGACTCTCACTGCTTTAACAAATCAGATACAATCAGAGATGTTATCAAAGTTCACAAGATTAACAAATTTGGCCATTAGGGCATTCTGTCTAAATTCAAGACTAACAGCACCACCTGTGCGCTGAATGGTAAGAATGCACATTTATTGTATTTTAGAGAAAAAAATCAATCAGGTTTCTATAAAGTCACAGCTGTTTATTGGTGTACCTTGCAGTTTGTACACGTGCAATGTTAGCAGGCCTATTGAAACCAGGGGCCAATTTCATGGCGCTGCTAAGCACAAAAATTTGCTTAGCACAAAAAAAGTCTGGTTTATAAAAGTAGGTTATCAGCCAAAACTCCATGTGATTTTGCTAAGCAAACAACAGCTGAATACTGATCACGAGCAATATACATCACGTGGAGTTTTGGCTGGTTACCTGCTTTTATAAGCCAGACTATTTTTGTGCTAAGCAAATTTTTGTGCTAAGCAGCGCCGTGAAATTGGGCCCAGGGCCCAATTTCATGGCGCTGCTAAGCACACAATTTTCTGCTAACAGAGCCTCCGTCTATTTCATGGAGACCATATGCAGTAAGCACAGCAAAAGGAAGGCTTCCTTCAATGGAATAAGTTGCTTCACTTAGTGACGTAACAATAGAAATCTCCATGCACGCGCAACCGTTAGCACACACACACCGCGAAATAGTGCTTAAGGTTAGCAAATTGTTCTGCTATAGATGCTAAGCACAACTTTTCTGCTAACTGTTAAGCAACGCCGTGAAATTGGGCCCAGCACATTTTATGTTATAAGCTGTTCGGAATCTTGTTACAATGTACAGCGTAAATAGACCTACATCTTATTATTTTGATATTTTGATAACGGATATTTTAATAATTGGCATCTTACCTGGCCCTTGCGGTTGACACCGATGATGCCCGAGCTGGCCTCGTGGGGTGCAGTCACAAAGATGGTCTCAGCGCTGATGCGGTTCATGTAGATACAGGTACCACTCTCCAGGTCATACAGGTGGATGTAGCCGTACTTGGTGATCAGGTAGATGGTGTCATGTTTAGGGCTCACCTGAATGTGTAAAAGGAGTTTCCTTGCGTTCAAACTCTAGTAAAACCAGTTCAAATCCAGCCTGGTGCACATTTTGGTTTGAATTTGTCTGCCAATTTTTCAATTTTTTTTAATTTTTATACATAGCTAAAATTATGATATTATTTACAAAATATTCTTAAAATTCTTAGAAAATCTTCTTTAGGCCAAAAAAAAGTCTCCGGTTTCTGGTATGGAGCTTGCCCAAAAGTGGTGCGGCGACGCTGCTTTTTTTTTTTACCGTTTTTTTCTTCAAATGTCGGCTGATGACTGCAAACGGTGCCCGACTAAACTTAGTGCATATATATGGGAGCCCAGAGAGGCCACATAAAGCTTATACTCGATCGTAACCCCATCTAAAAACACGTTAAAATTGTGCGGCAGCAGGATTCCAGTCAAACCAGTGTGTTTGGCGGTTTTGAGACATCATCTTTCATTGAAAAAAACCTTTTTCATTTTGCCGACGCGCATGGCTACGGCGACGCGCGCGCATTCCATAATCCGGAGACTTTTTTTTTTTGGCCTTACCTGCATTGCAACTGGGAAATCATTTTGAGCTTCCGGAGGGAAGAACACGTCCACGGCCTTCTTGGAAAAGGGTTGGTTACCGCTGGGAGGGCTACCGGCCTCAATGACGTGAAGCTAGAAAAAGACACACAAGACACAAATTTATGTCATATTAACCCTCCTATGCAAACATTCTGTGCCAAGTTGTCGTGTCAGTCAAAATCAATCTCAAGTGACTTTTTTTCAACAGCTCCTAGCCCACATAAAGCAGGATTGACTGGCTGTGACTTTTTATGTAACTTGATATAGCTATGCTTTGACTGTAGGGAATTGATGACAGCAGTGCCTACCAGTTGCCTTTTTTGTCTGTTAACTGGATTTGACTAGTCAGAGTGCTGGCTTGAAATATGATCTGACTGTTCATGACTAGCCTGTGTAAAAGGCATGGTAGGGGAAGTGGATGGAATTTTTGACTGTCTGTGACTGTTCAAACAGTAGGAGGGTAGCCCCAAATGGACTGATGTAACTTTACTGTTCTCACTAAGAACACACTAGGTTTCAGAGACCCCTACACCTGTCCTTTCAGAACCTTATTATTTCTAAGATGGGTAGCCCCAAATGGACTGATGTAACTTTACTGTTCTCACTGGGAACGCGCTAGGTTTCAGAGACCCCTACACCTGTCCTTTCAGAACCTTATTATTATTTCTAAGATTTGAAGTTCAAGGTTTAAACAAATTAGGAGTGACAACAAGCAAAAGATCAAATGTTGCAGTCGTTCTGAACTATCCCATTTTGGAATTTCCAGCTGAAGTCTTTTACCTTGCCTCCGGCTGCTCCACGGACAGCGAAGGAGAAGATGGTAGATGCTTCCGGGTTGCCCTCTTGCTTGAAGATGGAGAAGCAGGCAGCGTGTCCCTCGATGGGCTGACTGACTTTACGCTCTACGGAGTACAGCTGCATGGCTCCCACTACACGGTTTTGCTGTGGTGGAAAAATTGAACTAGATGAGTCTTTACGAACATTGTGTTAATGATCTCTCTCTCTCTCTCTCAGCTGTGTAATTCTTGATAAAGACAGTGGCTCAATCTGGACAGTACTTAACAGGAACTCTCAAAGTCTGTTTTTAGTAGATGGTTTACGCCACCATTAACTTTCTGAATTCCTTTAAAATCCACAAAGTGTTTGAGAAGATCATGATAGATTGAGGAAGGTTGAGCTCAACCACTACATGTATTTCTTTACATGGGGATTGATGCACCTTGAAAGTTTAGGTAAAGAATGTGCCACTGTTTCCATGAAGGATTTGGGAGCGATATTTGCTACGATGACAGGCCATGAACAACGGCCAAGTTCAAGTTCAAAACACGGTGTGTACAAAACCAATTGGAACCACTGACGTGTATACACGTCCACCGCCAGAGACTCGGAGAAAGTCAGACGATTTAACCCGTTACCCGCCCCTGCGGATATACATTGACAGATCGTGTTTACATGTCCTCCAGCATGAACTAGTTAATAAACAGGGAAGCTTGAACTTTGCAAATGATTCCTTGGATGATATTTATCACAGTGACTCCATTAGTTAGTCTTAATTACGGAAACGAACCCCATCAAACTGGTAAAACTCATCTCTACGCACGGAATGGGGACATTTAACTAGAGGAATAAATGCAGTCATGTATGTAGTCAAAGTCTGTCAAAATGTTATCATCGAGGTGCTTCAACAAGTCTTTTTGTACACATTTTCAGAGACAATCATTGCAGAGATAGGAATGTTAAGTTTGCATCATTTCTTTAACAGGTCCATTTTTTTCACGGGTGATTCGCATGTGCTGTTTTGTTTTGTTCAACTACACAGACTTTTCATCCGCAAACCCCATCTCACCTGGGCCGAGATGCCGATGAGCAGCAGCCACTGCATCTTGGCGTCGGTCCGGTAGTTGATGATCTGACATCCGGCCAGGTTGGAGTGGCGGTCAAACACCTTGACCGGCTGGGACTCCCCTTCCATGCTCCAGTGGAAGACGGCGTTGTCCGTGACCATGCCGATGGTGTTGAGGTTGATCCACTTCCAGAAGTGCACCTCCTCGGTCAGGTTGTGGGCCTTCATCTTGCTCTTCATCTCAATGTTGAAGATCTGCAGAGTACGGCCGGCTGGAGAGAGGAGGTAAACAAAAGACAATTTAGAAACAACAAATTCTTTAAATCTACAATCCTGGCTAAATCTCGCTGGGCCCCCAACCCCCACTCAATGTTGTCTCTCATTGCGTGGTGTGTGCTCCATCAGCTGGAGAGAACAACATTGACCGGGGGAGCGGGGGAGTGGGTGACCGGGGGAGCGGGGGAGTGGGTGACCGTGGCAGGCTCAGGAAGTGTCCCAACCATTTTGGCCGGGATTGTAGCCCTGCTGAAGCTAACAAGGTGCAAGAGGTGTAGAAGTCTGTGGGACCTTGTTGCATGGAGCAGTCCACAAGAGCAGCACAATTGCCAATTTTGAGAAAACCGGAGCTACTTCCATTGAACAAATGTCAGAATTAGATCCCGTGGCGGTTTGGCTTCTGGACCTTGGGATGTTGACATATTGTGAAACTGAGCAGCCTTCTGACATCAAAAACTGTTGTATGTTGTTGTGTTCAGCAGAGTTTCTATCAAAGATACTGCGGGGTGAAGTCAAAACCCTGAACCTGCTGAATCCCCTATTTTCAACACTGGGCATTTTTTTTTCAATGTAGGGTTTTTCCCTTGCCTGGTGTATTTTATAAACAATGTATACTCAGTGTTTTCCTGAGAAATTGTAAGACAAAAAATCACCGACTACTTGAGTGTTTCTCAAACCCACGACGTCTTGCACGTCATACCATCGACCACTGAGCTTGCTGGGGTCGGCTGGCCGGTTCAAATCTGATATAGCAGCGGTTCAAATCTGATATAGCAGCGAGTCCCACAACCAAACTATTCATCAGATAGAATCTGCATCGGGTGATGCAAAATCAATGTTGATTTTTGCCCTTCACCAACGTATTGGTCCAAATGATTATGAGACAAAAATTTTAAAATTCACAAAATACCCGAGTAGTTCTTGAATTTTTAAATTTTGTCGGAGAAACTCAAAACCCTACATTGAGTTTATCATCCCGATGCAAATTCTTATGAATAGTTTGTTGATTGTGTATGTATGCGTTTTGGCAGTTGGATTCTGCTGTATTCAGCTTAAGTCATGTACATAATTCTGTTCAACCATTTATGTCAGGTGTCTGCAAGTGCATGGGTAGCACTGCAACCACATCGGGCCTATAATATTACAGACGGCATCAAAGCTTTGCCCGCAATTGACCCGGTCTTGGTACCCACATGAGATGTCATGGAATACTGTCATTCTCAAACATAAAGGGCAATTCCACGGTAACGGAAGGACGTTTTCACTCATTAAACAAAATTTCAAATGTGTGTATCACAGACACTGTTAATAGTTACAGCAAACAAATGTCACAATTTTATTGCTATAATGCTACCTTCAATTTCCACTCTTTTGGTGGGCATGAATACCTCTCGTTTATGAATTATGAATATTAATGAGGTCAGTAACGGAAGGACGGTAAAACGGACAAGGGTTTTCCAACTTACTCGCGTTTTGCGTAAACTCTGTGAATTTTATGGGGCAATTATATTTTAAAGGTAGGAAATGGAATCCCTGAAGCTTTATCTATACTATACCACCTTTCATTTGACTTTAAGTGTTTCGGTAATATAATTACAACGTTTTAAGTGAATTATAATTTGGTAACGGAAGGACGGTAACGGAAGGACAAAAGGTTTACTCAATTATAGCATGAACAAAATGTGAATTTACACTAATTATACAAGTGAAACAAATTGCTGAAATGTGTAACTGAATGTGAAATCAACAATATGCAGACCTGGCATAAATAATTATTCCCAAAAAACTATTGAGATAAAGATAGAAGCCTGCTAATTATTGATAACAAAAGAAAAATGAAAACAACCAAAAACACGTCATTCACGAACACAAGACAACTACAGAAATGAACTTCAAATCCATCACCTCAATCCTTAAAAGTTTAAATACACAGTATTTGAGCACTTGAGCATATTGGTTACATGTTCACCAAAAACTTTTAATAATACCGGTAGGTTCAGTGGTTTACCTAAAGGGGGGGGGGGGGCAGCCTACATGTACAAGGTAAAAACATCTACCAGTAGAACTGATGGCTTCAGAATCATTATGCTTTTAGGTGTTGCTTTTAATTGAACTCTAAATTCAATGTTTGAAATCAAATTACAATGATTTAGAGTAGTAACAATTAACTTATAAACATCCAAACTGAAGTTGTTAACTTGGGCATAATTTGTCAAAGATTGCACCTCACATGTCTTACACATGTAAATTGAATGAAAGTGCCCCAAATTACCGGTACTTTCTTCCATCTCATTTTTGCTTCTGGAATGGCTTCACAGAAATTGTATCTTTCTCTATTGTCCATGAATGCTGATGGTAGCAACTTTATGATTTGATTTTCTGCAACAACTCCATACATGTACAAGTACTGGTACATCGGCATATATACATACATGTATGTGCATGTACATTGTACATGTTGTACATGCCTGTGCCATCCTTTGTAATAAACACCTTGCCCTGCTTATCCCGCTTTTGTGAAGGTGGGTCACATGAATGTCCTTTCAATGCTCATTATACATGCATGTATTTGCAGTGATTTTCATTTTTCAAACATGAGCACAAATGTCGTAACATTTGATAAAAATACGATTTGTCCTTCCGTTACCGTCCTTCCGTTACCAATTTGGTAACGGAAGGACGTGATTTAATTAATTGTAATTAAAAAACGAGAAGTACAGCAGTGTCAGTTATAATGTCATATTGAAGGCCTACCTAAACTTGCTTTGCACAATAACTTTCAATGCATTCATACTGCAAGTTTTAAAAATAAATTAAAAATATGTATTTTTTCGGTAACGGAAGGACATTTTCAAAGGCTGAAATATTAGAAGTCACTGAAGTGAAACAAAGTACGCAAAACATTAAAAACAAGTTTCAGTCAGTTTTTCAAGGCCAATACTTTCTCATGACAGAAACTGATGGCATTAGTACATATTTCTGTGTGTTTATTGGTAGAATACTTTCATATCACTATTAATCACATTTTTAGGATTAAAACAGGATTATTACGTAATCCTATTTTTTGGTACTGAAATGTATCAAAAATAAAATTCCGACTTCAAATCTTGAAAATATAGACTTTTAGCTTTCATTTGATGCCAAATTTGTTTAAGTCACATGTATTTGAATTTTTTGGTGTCATGTCCACTTTGGTGTGGAATTGCCCTAAAGTTAAAATCGCCAAACCCTTTGAGGAATAGAATTCATTAATTAAAAAAGTTAATCTGTTGGCACTTGTTGCTACCCTCTCCAGTGATGCTCGAGGGACAGACAGAAAAAATCTTGAGGCTGAAATTGCCAAGGATTGAGACAAAATTCACCGGGGACATTGGTCACTTTCAAGTATTGGTTTCCATTCCCTGCATTTCAGGTAGAGAATTATTCTCAAGCCTCGCAGGTTTTGTTGGTGTTGTGTGAAAAGGGTACTAGTGCTGATCGCAATATTGCAATCTGTGTGCCTTTAAGTGTGCCATGTAAGTGAGACTCATGGCCTTAACTCTCAAGCATCAGTTTCCATTCACACATCGGCATTTTCAGGCATGAGAAAAATTTTCAAGCTTCGTTATTTTTTTTGGTGTTTGTGCTGATTCCAATATTACAAACTGTATGCCTTTAAGCGTGTACAACCCACCTACACGTAAAGTGAGTGTCATGGCCCTAACCACTCATCCACTGCTCGTATTCCATCAACATGGAACTGAATGCTGAAAGCAAATACTTGGCAGACCTTCAAGCAGTTAATGTGTGTCTTATGTCTATTTCTGGAACACCCATCCCCCCCATATATTGTTTTATTTATAAATCAGAAAAACAGTGTTTTGACAATCATGAACACAGTCACCTTTGTTGTTCACTGTTAAGAAAAAAACTTGTAAACAAAAGAAAGTATAAAACTTTTCAAACAGCAATTTCGCCAGTCACATGCTAAGAAATTGTTTCGAAAGATTTTATGACCCATATTTTGGTGATCTGCTACACCATGAAATGGATAAAAATTGATAGAATTCTCTTATTTGAACAGAATTCATATTTACATGTACATTGTTAAAATGTGTGTTCAAGAACTACCTTATTGGATAGCTGTTAATGGTTTTATTCAGGGAAATTCTACAGCAAAATTACAATGGAAAACTTTTAAGCCATTTTTTAGATGACACCCACTACAGGACACACAAAACAACTGTTAAAACGGGTATTATTTGTACAATTTGGTTCTTACTTCATTCGAAAAGTAAATTGCTCTTTATTGGCAGTTCACATTTTGACATGACATAAAAAAAATCATTTGCTCCACATATTCCCAACAGTTCTTCAAACCGAGTTCTGTCAACTTGCAGAAAAGCAAATCCAATTCTGTAATTACAACTGAAGAAATGGAACAGCAGTGGCCTTCAGCCCATGGATGAAATTTGTCTAGTTCACTGACATTTTCCAGTCTTCTTGTGGATCCCCCCCCCCCAATTTGATTTCCATCTTTTGTTTAAATTCCTGATGGGGGAATTAAACATTTTCTTTTTGTTTTAAAATTGCTTCGAAATTAACAGTCTCATTATTTAAAATTGTGATGCAAGGAAATTTCTTCAGTACTATTTAATGAATTGGTCTTCTGTCAGGTTTTGGTAATGGAGGCCTACATGTACATTGTACATTGACAAAATTTGTTAAACCTCTAACCCTGTGCTGTTTTTTATGTACCTGCATGTATTTTCTGAAAAAAATTCTGACAACCATAAATTGTTTTAAGGATTCCTATTCCTAGATTTCCAAAATTTTATTGCCAGCACTGCTAGTACACTTCCCTGCCTGAAGTTCATCACATTAGCCCATTCTGAGAAAAAAAAAGTGGGCAGAGCCCTCCTACTTGACCTAGGGGGCAAAGTTCAGGGGTCAATGAGATTACAGTCCACATGTGATCCACCCCCTCTACAGAGGCACCAGTATTGATCTACAGCATGTCAAGCCGCTGATAACCGTGTTTGTATTGATTCACAGGGTCTTGTTAAACAGGGAATAGTTGGGGGTGTGAGGCTCAAAATGCACGGTAATAAATTCAGGCTTTTATGCCGGCTACAGACCATGCCATAAAAAGACATGTTTGCCTCAAACAGCCAATATGTGAATACAGCCTACTTGTATTAACAGCTCAATCATTATTATTTACGAATTGTATTGTTTGAAATATTTATCATCTCAGTTAAAACCTAGTTTTACGACTGTCTGTATTTCAATGGGATTTTCATGTTCTGGTAAAACATACAAGTACATGTACATGTAACTGTTCACTGTCCACACAAAACCAACCCAAGAGAAATAGAGTACACTTTTGTACAAGTTAGGCCAAAAACAAAAGTCTCCTGTTTCTGGTATGGAGCTTGCCCAAAAAGTGGTGCGGCGACGCAGCTTTTTTTTTTTTTCCTGAATTTGTTTGCTTCAAATGTCGGTGGATGACTGCAAATGGTGCCCGACTAAACTTAGTGCAAATTATATGGGAGTCCAGAGAGGCCACATAAAGCTTATTCTCGACCATAACCCAATCTAAAAACACATTAAAATTGTGCAGCAGCAGGATTCCAGTCAGACCAGTGAGTTTGGCGGTTTTCAGACACCATCTTTCATTGAAAAAAAAAAAATTTCATTTTGCCGACGCGCATGGCTACGGCGACGCGCACGCATACCAGAAACCGGAGACTTTTTGGGGGGGCCTTACAAGTTCTTTTTTTTTACAGAAACTTATCGGTATTTTTCTCTGAAAAATTCACTACAAAGAGAAACTGATTGGGTGCATTATATAATTTTTTTTTTTTTTTCAAAGTCGAACAAAAAGAAATTGACTGGAGCGGGATTGGAACCTGTGACCTCTGAAAGAAGAGTACATCATTTGCCGATGAGACTCTAGTTTCAACCCAGGTTGAAAATCATTCTCATGGTTGACGCAGGGCTGAACATTTTCAAGTGTGAAATGCCGCATGTTTTCAACCCTGCGTCAACCCCCCCGTCAACCCTAAGATTTGTCTAGTGCGAAAGGGCCTTTTGAGATATTCATGGATTTCAGTGTTTGGGCATCTGCAAGGAGAACACCCACAAGAATTGTTAGGTTATTAGTCTTTGCGATGATTATGTAATTAAAGAAAACATGGCGTGACGTATGGGACAAAAGGGGACCTTTACTTGGACTTGATTTTGAACTAAATGCAACATGAAGACTGTGAGACAGTGAGACTGAAAGTGAGAATGCAATGCATGAATTCCGAAGCCAGTAACTTTAGGGTTATCAACCTGTACAACAAACACTTAATTGAATAGCCATTTATATTGTGATGATACGCTATTTCATCATAAGCCCGCCTATTGCTACATGTACGCACACAGCGGGTTTACAGTCAAAATATAGCCGGCCCCAAGGGAAGCCATTAATTGAGGCTGCATTGCTGTGTCGTAATGGGGGATTTCCGTATCAGCCCTTCTGCTGCCTACTGATATTATATACGGCATATTCCACGATTGTGACGTCAGAGGTGAGTAAAACTGCTGACGTCCGACGCGGAGGATGATCAGTTAAGCCTTGGACAAAATGCGCACTGTGTCTCAGCCAAGGATGAGGCTACTGCGTAAACTACAAAAAAATTACATGTGGATCAATGCAACGGTAGGCTGACACATGTTAGTGTCACGGGTGGGTATATTATTAACCAACACCAGTTACTGATCCAGGCGAAGGATCCAATTTTTTTTCTGATAGGAGGCACGATTTGGTAGACAGGGTTTTAGCCAGGATTTGGCAACAGGATGGGAAAATTTTATGCTAAAAATCTCTTTATTACAAAGACTTATCCAACGACTCGTGCACAGGTGTTAGTGTGCACACTCAGACTCCTATGATCCTCCCAGTCTTCTGCACTTAACAACCCTTCAAGTTTTGCAAAACCACTTTTTGCCCATAGAGTTAGCACCCGTACTTCAAATGGCTGGGTGGGGTGGGGCAGGGCAAGGGGAGGCTGGCTTACCTTTGAGCGCAATGACTTTACTGGCGGGGTTCATGATGGCCGAGTCGGCCGAGATGGGCCGTCGAATGGGATTGGCCGAGTCGTTCAGGTCAATGATGACCACCTGGGCCTGATCCCCAACCTTCTCCCTGATGCAGATGAACTTGTCCGACTCCATGGTGAGCGTGCTGAACCCGATGTTGGCCGCATTGATGCCCAGGTTTTGGAGCTGAAGGAAGGAAAATGGAAAACAACAAAGTTAACATAGCAAGGTTCCAAGCACTTCATGAAAAAAAATTTCCCTGAGTTTTCCCTGATAATTTCCCTGAGTAAATCCCAAGATTCCATGAGAAATAGTTTCGCTTTAACAAGGTTGCTGGGAAGTCAAGAGGTGGTTGCAGCAAAGCAACTAAGATACTGATAATACACAGGCAACTTGTTGACAAGCGATGGCCTCCCCTCTCCCATTTCTGGGCTGGTGGAGAGGTGTGTAATATTCACACTGCATAAACACTAAAAAAGCCACCATAGCCAGTCAGTCAATGGACACAACTTGCTTCTTGCGAGTACGGTAAGCACAAAGTGCCAACTACATGTTCTAGTGTGCACTGTAAGATGTTGATCAATATAAAAAGCCCTTCAATTCAAGAGACTCCAAAACATATTAAAAATTTTATTTAATACTATAGGAATATATGGTAAACCTGAAGATGTCCAACAGGCTAATCTTTCATTCTTTCCATAAAAGCTGACAAGGACAAAACCCCTACATGTCACACACTGAACACTGTCTTGTAGAAAGACGATAGGATTACTTCAAAGATGCTATCTCTTGAGTAACTGATATCAGTTTGACGGTTAGTTCGAAAAACTCAGGTGTCTGGATGCCCTTCAAATTTAATTCAATAAATGAGAATTCTCAAATACAGAGTCAACTTGGCGTTATTTATCAGTACCTAACAGAATCCGACTCTGAATATGTACATGTACATTTGTATAAGGGGTTTACTGCTCAATCCAACAAGCTTCCAACAGGTTTATGGCATAGTTGGATCGTTGGATTCAGCAGGGTTAGGTTTACTGCAATGTAACATTGGGACTCCTTGAACCTGTGCCCAATCTAATGGCGCTGCTTAACAGTTAGCAGAAAAGTTGTGTTTACTATAGCAGAAAATTGTGCTAACCTTAAGCACTATTTCACGGCGTGGATGTGCTAATGGTCGTGCACGCATGGAGATTTATATTGTTACGTCACTGGTTTAACCAACGTTTTGCTCTGAGGTAAGCGTGCCTATCGCTGTGCTTACTGCTTACGACCTCCATGAAATAGACAGAGACTCTGTTAGCAGAAAATTATGTGATTAGCAGCGCCGTGAAATTGGGCCCTGCTGCCGTGTAATTCCCTTCCCAGACTACTTTTACGCTCCACTAGCGCCAGACCAGATCGAAAAACAACACTATCAATTCCGAATGAAAACAACCAGAACACCCCTGGGTCCTGCAGGCAGAACAGCCCTGGCAGCATTTACATGCAAGTCACAAAATGATGCTCCCTGTTTGATGGACATTGTACTTGTACATGCACATGATATTGTGTATGTCCTGATGCAGCTTTTCTCAAAAGGTACATGCACAGTGTACACATTGGGACTAAGGTAATTTCTTAGTAACATGAATTTATGCATGTTCAGTTAAATACACACAATACAAGTATGTCATGTATTGTACTGCATATATACATGTATCTATTATAAATGTTGAATTGCACAAATGTATGCACATTCAATGTTAAAATTAAACTTGGTGCATTGCCCAATTGCCCACTATCAATATATCGGAATTAACACTGTAACATACAGTAGTCTACTGCACAATATAACAACTTTTTTAAATCTTTGTCTTAACTAGCATGACTAGGGAAAACTATTGCTGTTGGAAATAATAAAAGTGGTGATTGAACTCTAGTATTTTCCACACTTCTATTCAATGTCAAACTCAACTAGCAAGCTGATCCTTATTAAGTAGGGCATGAATTTGCGGTATGACAGTGTCGTGAACTGCAAGAGATAAATAATGCAACTACAGTCGAATCTCGTCTCGAATACAAAATTCTGGTTATAACAAACATAAAGCCTTAGTCCCGACTGTGCATTTATGTGCACAATGAATGGGACTGATGTTCCTCTTAATACAAAATTCTGATATAACAAACAATTTGGCTAGGTCTGACTGAGTTTGTATTAACGAGACTCGACTGTACCATGTTTTCATGGCTTACGCACAATAGCCACTGACAGGCTAAAATAAATGACATTAGACGACATTGTCTGTGTTGAGTAAGCCATTCATCTCGGGGTTAGCATGGTTGATCTTTCACAAATATGGACAAGATGCAGGACATTAGTCCAATACATGCTGAGAATAACAACATTACTAGATCTAGTCGACCAAATTCAGTTTTGCTTGAAATTTACATGTATTGATTGATGTTACTACATTACATTAAATAATGCTAGTGTTTGTGTGGACTGTAGACTAGAAAGTGCAGCACTCAATTGTTAAAAACAGTCACCTGATTTATTTTTACTGCTGGGCTGGCCTTGTTGAAATTATCAGCCAGAGAGATTATAATAATTTAAAAATTTCCTTGACACGAATCAAATGTCTCCAACCTTCCCTACTCTTAGCACAAGAAACCCAGAATTATACAAGGCATACGATAACAAAGACAGGAAACTACATGTAAAAGACCTTTCTCACAAGGACCTCAGAGTACTGCTCTTGAGGTATCAAATGCATGCTATCTGTCACAGTATCCTACACAAGATGGCCCTATCAAAATAACTTGTCTCCCGCACATCTTCAGGCCTCTTGGCAAAACAGACTCCGTGAAGGGGACAACGCTGCTGCAGTACAGACGCAAGGCAGTTAACAATGTGTGCACTGCCATGGCATACTGACAACAGCCCTGGGGCCTGTGAGGTCGATTGAGGATGCGGATGGTTCCCTTGCTGGACATGCATGCATGTATCTTGTCTGTATGCGGCTGCACGGCAAGATGGTGTTGCGTGACAATTAGTTATCACTTCTGAATTTAATTATCTCATTGAAAATTATGACAAATTGATGTTTAATTCATGGTATACAAAATTGTTTTTTTTAGAGACCATGATGTGGTGTTAAAAGTAAGTTTTTGTATTCTAAAATTCATTTATAAGAAGCCAACTGTATACATTTACATGTGTAATTTATGCACACAATACAGTGCATATGTACTCGTATGATCATAACTACTTCCCACCCCCCCCCCTCCCCCCAAAAAGACACAAACGAAAAAACACACACAATCAATCTGATGAATCACAAATTATTAAACAATTAGTTAATACACCTAACTGTTTTCAAAGACTGGTGAGAGAAATGTTTAACACCAGGCCAATTTTTTTTAAAGGCCTACATTGTAACTTTGGTCTTTCTTTACTTAAAACCCTAACCGCCCTGAATCCTCCAAAATCCTTTTTGCAAATTGGAGGAATTTGCAGGATTGAGGTTACATGGCAAAAGTGCGTTGCTGATTTCGGAGTACGCACTGTGTCAAGGTCTTGGGCCGGACCTTGTGTTGTTTATGCTCAGCCGTGCATAAATTTAGTCCTTGATTATACTTGACATCCTCCGCACTGCTCCAGGATGTCACTGCCTCTGCCTCAGCCTATTGACAGTCATAGCTGGAGGATTTTGCAGGATTCAGGCAGTGGTCACCCCTCCATGGACCATATTCAAGAAATAACGGAGGAATTTGCAGGATTGAGGCTATATGCTATTTTTCCATGGGGCCAATTGGAGGACTTTGCAGGATTGAGGCTACATCCTAGCAAAAAGGCCTAGGGAGTTAGGGTTAAGGGAACCTATAACAGTAATCTGTCACCTCCACCCATGTTTACATTACATACCTAGTGTGGACATTCTTTTGATTTCGTGTAGTTATAAAAAAACCTGTGAAAAAAAATCATTTTACTCACACTGTGAAAACTCTTTCAACCCAATTTTTTTTTCTATGATTCCCTTTAGTGTTTCTCTTCATTTTGCCACCGATAAACCTAACCCCAAAATGCCTTTAAACCTGTTTTCCAGAGAGGGGGAAACATTGTGTGGACGTGAGCAAGTCCACACAACGCCGCTGCTACCTGGTTTATGTGGACATCTTTTGTTCGGAAGTCCACACTGTGAATGTATTGCTTGTACATGTACATATTCATCGTACACACACAAAATTGCCCCCCCCAAAAAAAATTCCCTACCTAAATGCCGTGTAATCGGAAGCAGAATCATTTTTTGGGGGGGCCTTACAGGTAAGTAACCAAAACAAGCAAACAATCAAAAAGGGAATTTTTAGATATAAATATACTTTATTTTAAATTTTTAGCCAAACATGGCGATGAAATATTTCAGGTCAGTAGGTTGGGTTTTTTTGGGGTCTAATCATTTTTTACATGATACAATGTGACACTGACCTGCATGTACATGTCAGTAGACCAGCCAGCCCATGCAAAATTTAATAATGTCAAAATCTGGATTAATTAAAAACTAATTTAACAAGACGGACACATTATGGCCAGTATGTAACAAAGACACACACATTGGATGTTCATATGTACATAATACATATCCTGCATGTTTCACACATTTGGTAAAAAGCGACAACAGAAAAACTAAGTGCACACCACACGTACAGTGCTGTGAATGGTGCATACACGCTTACATTAGGAAGCAAAGCTGACACATTATGAGGACTATCACCTTACAATTTCCCCTTGCGAAGATTGGCTTATTAGATTTTGCCTATCAAAATACACTCAGAGAAGTGTGGGCGATTTTCTCTTGATTGGATCTACAGGAATTTTTTTCCATAAATTCCTGATTTATTTTTTTGAACAACCACGTTTGTGAAGCAATTATTATTGCATGCAAATAGTACATGTACCTGTGTAACTGTATACAAAATGTATCAAATACAGAGGTAATATGCATCATGAAATACACAATGGTATGAAGTATCCCTACCATATATTTACAAGTCTGCCACGATAAGCTTGCCTGATAATCATATTCGCTTTCCTCAGGGCCATATTTTGGTTTCAACATTTGTAATTTTGAGTCATTATAAATACAGCCTGCAGGTTCACATTGGGCAACGGCAGATCTGCAGGTTTACATGCTTTAAATTCATAT